CCACGTCACCAATATCTGTTACTGCAGCGCTGACTAACACAGAAGCCGTCCGCCGACCCCCTGCCCAACCGCCACTCCCTTCATACAGTCCATCCAGCAACTGCTACAGGTCACCAGTTTCAGTTTATCCAGTAAATCGACCCTTCTTGCCACCTCGAGCACCTGTGAACTCTTGTCGTACTCCGGATAACCGGCCCGTCTGCTACAACTGCGGTATGTCAGGGCATGTTGCGTGCTACTGTCGTTCCTGTAGATTATATTTTAATAATGCTCAGCATTCTGGCAACATCCCTCGGCAATCAGAATCGCATGTTACACCTGATGCACCTGACCTCTGCTCACGTCGACCAGACTTCGACCCACATCGATCTCCATCACCCCATCTTCGGTCTCCTTCCCCCATGCTTCGCCGTTGCAACCACACCAAGGAGAAAACTAACAGTCGCGGTTCCTTAGGCAAGAACTGCGCCACCGACGAAATTTTCAAGGCCCCATCTTTGGTCCACTAACAAGATTGCCGTGTTTGTAGACAGTTTCGCCACAGCTGTTCTTGTCAACACAGGTGCCGCTATTTGTGTAATCAGTGAAGTGTTAAGCCTCAAACTGAACTAAGTGACGACTCCACTGGTTGACATTTCTTTACCCACAGCGAGTTCGCAGCACGTCCAGCCTTCTGCCACATGCACTGCTTGTGTTGTGACTCAAGGAGTGCTTTATATCGTTGAATTTGTCGTCCTTCCGCAAGCGTCTCGTAAAATCATCCTGGGATGAAACTTTCTTTCCGCTGATGGTGCGGTTGTCGACTGGGCTTGTGCACAACTCGTTTTGTTTCCATACAGCACGACATTCATAGGTTTCCCTTGCTCACCCAAAAAGGTAATCGTCGCCGCTGACGTCGTCATCTCTACTTTTTCGGTCGCCGTGGTGTCTATTTTCTGCAACTCCGTCCCTGATTCAACTGCCCTCTTTATGCTGTCGCAAGAATGCGCTCGTGGCCGGAACCTTGTCATCCCATTTGCCTTCATAATGCTTGCCGATGGTTCCAGTGCTATGTCCATGCGCAATCCATTCCCTTGTCCCGCTACCTTATTGCATGGCGAATGTATTGGGCATCTTGACGCTTATGATGCCAACTTTCCTTTCAATGCCCCTTCCGATACGACGCCGAAGTCCATGGATGCTGTCATGGCTGCCACCGCACCCTCACTACCTGACAAAGCCGTTCTGTTGCACAGCATGGACACCCGGCTTACGCAAGACCAGCGCAATCAGCTTGTTAAACTACTTGACCGTTTCCGCGCCTCCTTCGACCACAGACGTGCGTCCCAAGCACGGACAACCTCCCTTGGGACGCATGTCAGTTGTCTCGCAGGCTGAGTGTGACGTCATCACTTAACACGTCGATGAGATGCTGCAATGTGGTGTCATTCAACACTCACACAGTCCTTGGGCTTCACCAATGGTCCTCGCGCGCAAAAAAGATGGCTCCATTAGATTTTGCGTGGATTATCGGTGACTAAACAAGATCAGTCGCAAGGATGTTTATCTCCTGCCACGCATTGATGGCGCTTTTGATTGCCTTCAAGGCACGGAGTTTTTCTCCTCACTGGATCTGCACTCTGAATATTGGCAAGTGCCAAAGGCCAAACCAGACCGTCCGAAAATGGCATTTGTGACCCCTGACGGCTTATATGAATTTAATGTAATGCCCTTTGGTCTTTGCAATGCGCCTATGAATTTTGAAAGGATGATGGACAGTGTCCTAAGAGAATTTAAATGGCACATCTGCCTTTGCTATTTGGATGACATAGTTGTATTTTCAACAAATTTTGAAACTAACTTTTCCCGTCTGGAACAAGTTCTCCAGTACTTTACGGCAGTCGGGTTGCAACTGAACTTCAAGAAACGTCCTTTTGGCGCCCACAAAGTCGCATTTCTTGGCCACGTCATCTCAAAAGAAGGAATATCGCCAGACCCTGCCAAACTGTGTGCCGTTGCCGAGTACCCTAAGCCTACTTCCCTAAAGAAGCTCCGTAGCTTCGTAGGCTAGTGCTCATATATTCAGCGTTTCATCCAAAATTTTGCCTCTATAATCGCCCCCCTGACTCAGCTTCTTTTCAGTAGTGCGGACCTCTCGGGCTGGAATTCCGATGGCGACGACGCATTCACGACGCTGCGCCGGCTATTCACGTCTCCACCAGTTCTCCGCCACTTCGATCCCAATGCATCTACTCAAATTCACACGGATGCTAGCGGTGTCGGCCTCGGTGCCATTCTCACTAAACACAGGAATGGCTGCGACGAGTACGTTGTCGCCTACGCCAGCCGCACCCAAACGAAGGTAGAATTCAACTATTCCGTCAAGGAAAAGGAGTGCTTGGCTATCATTTGGGCTATAGAAAAATTTCCCACTTACTTTACGGACGCCAGTTTGATGTCGCAGATCACCATGCCTTATGCTGGCTAGTGTCCATGAAAGACACTACTGGCCGCCTCGCTCGTTGGGCTTTACGCCTTTAGGAATACGACATCCTTGTTGTTAACGCTCAGGACGCAGACATTCAGCACTCATGCCCTATCCCGTTCTTCGCTGCCTCCTGACCTTGCCTGCTTACTAACTGGCATCTGCGATTCGTCATCGTTGAGCATCACCAATATGCTAGCCGAGCAGCGCAAGGATCCCTGAATCAATTCTTTGCTCGACGTCCTTTCTCACAGTCCCTCAGAATCGACTTCATGCTCCCTCTCTCGTCAAGCAAGACACTTTGCTGTCCCCTGAAGGCTTGTGTATCGCCTCAATTACCTGACGGATGGCCATGGTGGCTCCTTGTCATCCCCCGTCATTTGCGCTTAGACATTTGTGCTGCCTTTCACGATGACTCCAATGCTGGAGTATTCAGGACTTACTCTCGCTTTCATCTAAGATACTACTGGTGCGGCATGTATCGGCATGTTCGCCACTACGTTCAGTCATGTACCACGTGTCAACACCGCAAGACGCCTTCTTACAGCACTGCTGGCCTTTTGCAACCCTTAACCTGCCCAGCGAGACCATTCAACGGTGTCGGAACTGATATTTATGGTCCTCTACCCAACAATCTTCGAGGCAACCGGTGGATTATCGTCGCCGTTGATCATTTGACACGCTACGCTGAAACATCTGCACTGCCGGCTACCACTGCGAAAGACGTTGCTTCCTTTCTTTTTCACCATCTGATTTTGCGACACGGTGCACCTCGTGAATTGCTGAGTGAGCTTGGACGCGTGTTTCTCTCGAACGCCGTCGATGAGCTGCTCAAGGAATGTCGCATTGTTCATCGGAAAACCTCGGCATACCATCCTCAAAGCAATGGCATGACAGAACGCTTTAATCGTACCCTTGGAGATATGCTTGCCATGTATGCATCTGACGACCAAACTAATTGGGACCAAGTGCTCCCTCTTGTCATGTAGGCATAAAACTCTGCGCCACAACCTCCACCGGCTTCTCTCCTTTCTTCCTCTTGTACGGATGCGAACCATCATGCTCCATCGACACCATTCTTCCTTACAGACCTGATGTTTCCGAAGTGATGCCTGCTTTCAAAGCAGCTGCTTATGCCGAAGAATGTCGTCAGCTTGCTCGCTCATTTACCGCGCAAGACCAATAGCGCCAGAAAACTGACCACGATGCCTCTGCGTCTAGTGCCCACTGTAATCCAGGAATGTTGGTTTGGCTCTAGGTCCCATCTACCCTTCCCGGTCTTTCCCCAAAGCTTTCGTCGAAATATCATGGCCCTTACCGTGTGGTGCGACAAACATCTCGCGTCAACTATGAAGCTGAGCCCATTGAACCACCTTCAGACCAACGCTGCTGTGGGCGTGAAACAATGCACGTATCATGCCTCAAACCGTGCTGTGACCCCCCTGTCAAGTGTGGGAATTGAGGCTAGCCCGCTGCCTTTGCGCAGGCTTTACCGCCTTTTCTGCCGTTCTCAGGTCCCGACAAGACTCCCCTCCTTCGCTGTCTGCCGCGCTGGGAGAGCAAGGAGTGATGTTTGAACCCTTCTCACCCGGTAGCGGATGTCGACTGTGGCGCCGCGCGCGGGGTCTTTTGAGAGGTTTTGCGTGCATGCGTCAGGAGTGGGTCAGAGACTTTCCGGGACTGCTGACGGTGAGCCATGCAGTCTTTTCCGTCTGTCGACTCCCGTCGCTCGAGGCTCGTCGGACTTCGCTGACAGCGCCTCACGTCCGAGGCAAACGCTCACCTTTTGTTGCCCCTCTGCGTACGCTCTGTCGAAGGGTAGTACGATGTCCTAGTGCGTGGCCAAGCTAAGCCGACCTGTCTCCCTCCGAAGCCAACGCGAGCGCCTTTGCCTTCGCTCGAGCAACCAGGCCATGGTCCCGGTGCTTCCGTGAATCACCTTTACCACGGTGACGTGCTCGTGGGACCTTTGCGCCCATGGCGTGGATAAGCCCATTTGCTTTCTCGCCGCGCCTTCGAACGGGCTGTACTGCGTTTTGGTGTTGTCCCATACAATAAAGTGTTGCGACCTTGAGCAGTATCGTGTTCTCGCCCCGGCGGCGGTTAACGCGTGCCCTGCGACTCACTAAGACCGGACCCACGCTAGTAGCCGTACTCCTTCAGGATACGGGTCACTACACGTGTTATTTCCTTAGGTCGCCAGGTTGGCTCCAGCTCTGCGCCAGCTTGAAAGAAGACGTTGACATCCGCTTGGCTCGTGCTTTCCGAGTTCCTGCCTGAACCAGCTTGTTGCGGCTAACGCTTCTTCAATAATAACAAGTGTTTATACATGAACTCGTTCGTTGCAATATATAAATATATATAATATACGCACACACACACACAAACACATACACATCTGGCACATGATGGCGACAGAAAAAATCAGCCGAGAGTGTCCATGTAATTGCCATTGCAATGAAATGGCTTCTGACTGTAAAGTATATATGTTATATTACATGACTACGGAGTCCCGTCATTTATGGAGAAGCCTCACCTTCTGGTGCAGGGTGGTGTGGCAGACAACCACTTCATCGAGCAATGCTAGGTGCAGCGGCGTGTGCTCAGTGCTCAGCTTGAAGTAGGAAGGGTCGGATACAGTGTGCTCCACCCAGTGCACCACCCCGAGTGCCACCACGGGGTACCGCATCGCCTGGAACAGTGCCCCGAGCTCGGGCACCAGTTCTGATGAGCCACGGCGCTCCTGGCACAGCATGTGCACTTTCTCCACTGCCTGCTGCGTGGCACGCAGCTCATCCCTGTTCAGGGACTTGCGAACACCCTTGCGGCGCGTCTCGTACACGCTGCCCGCGTAAGCGAGCAGGTACACATACTTGGGCCTATGCTCTGGATTGAGCCGCGAACCTGGCCGGAACAGGGCGTCTAGCAAAAGGTCCAGGAAGTGGGGCTCGCGCAGCAGCTCGACGGGTGGCGGGTCGGGCGTCTGGTACATCTTGTGCAGCACCGTCACGTCGGCTGGGTTCAGTGCATCGCGCGACAGCATTGCCGACAGGGCCTGGCAGGCACGTGGGTAGGCCGCCGCACCGTTCAGCGCCATAGTGATGGGGGTCGGGTCGTGGCCCGTGCGCTGCGCATACCGGCTGATCTCTTGCGCCAGCCGCTTGACGTTTGAACCACCACGGGGCTCCTGTAAAAGGGTGTCCAAGTGGAATGGACGTAGAGAGAAGAAGCAAATACATACATTGAGGTTTCAGGTAAAAGTATAAAGCAGGAACCCTGAGGTCAGTCCCTTGTAATTAAAATTGAAATGAAAACTTACAGAAAAATCAAGAACAGTCAAGCTCCTTCTGTGCTTACCTTTGTTTCATCATCTCCCAACATTGCACTAAATGTCTTTTTCTTTCCCTTAATAACTGAAGCTGTCATGTGACATAATAAAGAAATTAAGTCACATGTAAATATGGGGACACATTGTATCTGGATACTACAACTTATTAAATCTTCTGTATGTAAGGTATCCTTTAGAGTAACTTACTAAGAAGTCAACTGTCCCAAGTCCTATGAAGTCCCAAATCCTATGAGACAGCATAGAATAGCTTAATAGCCAGCAAACTCCTGCTAAGGTCACATACTAAGTGATGCGCACCATTGAAATGATCGCAAGAGCACATATGTGAGAATTAAACCAGTGCGAATAGTAGAACACCCCACGTGCTGAAGAATTCTAATACACCAATTATTTTTCTGATAAGGCTATGGATGATCCACTGATGCAACAGCCTCGAGCGATTGTTGCCGCCTCAATCATGATTCTAGTGCCTTCGTTAGGCTGGGACACGAGACCCGTTGCCTTTTCAAACAACGGCTGGCACCCACACTCGGAACTATGAGATGTAAAACAACTGTCCCTACTTGCATTTCTTACTTTCTGGCAATGTTCCTGTAGTCTTACATTAGGGCACCTGCCCGTCTGACCTACGTACAAAGACTCACGATAATTAATACTTTTGGTTATTTCAAACAAAATTCAATTTTTTCGTTGGCCCTGTAGTTTTTCAATATATTTAAATGTCTCTTAATTCTAACTATATCATTCGGTTAATTCATACTTCTTGTGGTTCCATACCAGAAAATATCCCGTGGCAGCACCTTCGACACCTCAACACTGATCGCGAAGGAAAAGAAAAGGCTGCGGTGGAATGTTTGCTCTCTCTCAAATACAGATCTCCCTTTTTCATCCCTGCGACGCGAAGACCCTTCTCCTTTCAACGCCGCGTGCAAAGAGAGAGGAAAAAAAGAAAGCTGTCACGCGCCGGTGCCACGCTTGCCACACTGACCTTTCTTGTTTCAACAATGCGCTCAAAGAGAGCAAAAAAAAAAAAAAAAAAAGACTGCCGTGGGGTGCTGGTTCTTTCTCAAATGCCGAGCTGCTTCTCTCCACGTGGAGACGCTTCTCCTTCTTTGTCACGTGCTGGCCACGCTGCGGCTGTGTAGCGGAGACGCAGCCGTTGTAGTCCTTATCTTTAGAGAGTGTTGACACTGGACATTGCCGTGCGCAACTTCTTTTGCCAGGAGGATGCTGTAGCCGAAGTAGAAACACTTTGCAAGCTGCGTGCGAAACTGACTTGCTGCAAGGCAAATGTGTGCAAACATGCATCACCGATTACTTCAATTAATGATGGATGTCCTTTGATTTGTGAATAAATGCAAGTCTTTTAAAACTCCTACCTCGTGTGTTAGCTTGATGCACATGCGCCACTGCATGGTGAGCCCTTTGTTCATTTAGCTATTAATAATTCGAACCTCTTTTAGTTCAAGCAAATTTTTGGGCCCCTTCGAGTTTGAACTATCGAGATTTGACTGTACAATTCCACGCTTTACCAGTCTGCTGTGAAAAGACACGTACGGCAACAGAAGTTTCTTCCCCCCCGTGGCTCCTATGTTCAACAGACGTGTCCGGCTGAAAATGTTAGTATTAAATCTAAAAACCTCCAGGAACCATTTTCGAGCAGCTTATGCGTGAGAGATAGCGGATCGAGGCATTCCTGGAACACTTGCAAAGCTTGCTGAGAGCACTCATCAAAGACATCATGCAATCGAGCAAAATCAAGAAAACGTTGAAAAACCGGAAGCGCTTAGTAACATTCATTTCTGCCAGCCACTCATGGACCTTAAATATAAATAGGCCAGATACTTAGCACTGGGGCGATGCACGAGTAAATGCACATACTTCTTTTTAGCAGAAAGACTTCATCATTCAATTTTGCAAAGGTAGAAGCAAGGTAAAGCTTCAGCACATCCAGGAAGCCAGAAACAGAAATACCACACTCGTTTTCGAATGCAACTGCCCCGACTCGCAAAATTGCCTTTTCAACGGCATCTATAAGTGGTTTCTGAGAAAGAGAATAATAGATATCTTTTATGTCGATGGAAACGCCCATGCGACGACTGGACGTGTGTTGGCAGAGATAACCGACAGTCCCCTACGAAGAAGTTTTTACTAAAAAAGACCCGCCTACATCTTCCCATGGGGGGAACTTGACTAAATGCTTCGCAGAGTTGTGGGGGTATTGCGTGAATGTTGTGAAATGGGTATGGTTTGGGAATGCTCAATTTTTAGTTCGTCTTTATTATTCTCATTTGTTGAATGACAAAGAAGCGTTGCCTTCAACGAGTGGTGAGGCACTAACGTTGGTTTGTGCCCCACTACTGGTTAAGGTGCTATTGCCTCCATCGCATCTACTCGAGTCAAGCAAAGCGTCAAGTCAGGCGAAAGTCAAGTAAAGATGCCCCTGACTGAATTCAGAATGCGCGATGCAGTGCTTACATATATGGGGTGGCCAGTGAACGGTTGTGCAGTGCGAGCAGCCGGCTTTTTACTAGACGCTGCCTGCGTTGGCCTTGAAAGACGAGAGAGGGGGGAGTGACAATTGGCACGAAACGCGAGCATGCGGCATGTAACGCAAGCATGCGCAGCGGGGCTTTACACGACACCGCTCACGCCAGATTTGTAAGTAGGTGCGAATATAAAATGCTCCGCATTTAAAAAGGATCATCAATTAACAACAGCTTTACGTAACTCTGAAGCCAACAGGCAACACGCTTCTACTATGTGTCCCGTTCAGAGTTAATAACATAAAAGGGCATGTGAATCCTATGCGTATTTCCAAAAAAAAAAAAAAAAAAAGAAAACAAACTAATTCAGTGCCAATTTCTCTTGCTTGTTAACTGATTTTGCAAGACCACTTAGATTAAGCTAGATTAAGCAATTTTAGTTTTATTCAACTTGTGTTGTAAAGCATGTTATCTTATATTTTTTTTGTTTGCTGTAACCTATATATATATGTGCGTCTAAGCAATAATAAATCTGTTGAAAGTCTGCACTGGTCCAACTCTTTTTTGTGTGTGATGCCTAAATTTGGATTACCAAATAGACCAATCCCACACTTCTGTGGGAATAGTGAATTTTAGGTTTGAAGTGAATTTGAAGCGAATAGTGATTTTGGTTGAATAAATTTTTAATCGAATACAAATGGCATATATCCCATATTATAAAAAAAAAATAAGCATATTTCTCGTGACCCAACTAATCAGAACAATACTTATTATTCAATCTTGAAACAAGGTCTGTGCAAATGCCATTCTTTTTGGTTCAAAGAAAGCGGAAACAATTTTGAATAGTAGCAAGATTTGCCTTTATAGAGTGTAAGTGATAACCGATAAAATATGTTGTGTTTTAAAATTTACTGCATTTATAACAAGCTCTTATACATGAAAATCAAAAAAGATGAATCGATGTGAGGGTAATATGTTGATTTAACTTTCCAAGTGGAGCTTTGCGGCAGTGCAGATTTTCCCCAAAAAGGTGTTTTCATGGCTAAGCACCCTTTTACAGCAGTGAAACCACATTTACAAGGGTTTACATGCAGACTAACATACACTTATTCGTTCATTTCGAATACAGTTAAGTGTTGAGCGATTTAAATTTGAATCGAGGCAGACCCGAATTCTATAATATTTGTCCGAATTTTCAAAGCACTCTAATATTCACACAAGCCTACCCAATAGGCTTATTTGTATACATTCATCTCTAAAGATAATAAGTTCAATGATAGAATGCACACATGAAGTGACAGGAGAGGGCGCTTACTCAACATGAAGGGTTTTTTCAACGGGTTTCACAGATAACAAGGCACAAGCTACGTGCATCAAGGCCACAGCGTTTTCATCTTCAAGAAATGTGGAAAGAATGTACAAAAGAAACTGACAATCCTCCAATTGTAAATAGTCGAGAAAAGTGAACATCTTAACACAAAGTACCAGACAAAGATGGCCAATGCATTTATGATTGAATCATGATGCCACCATCGAACCTTTAGCACTCGCACTGACATCTTTCGGTGGTCATTTTTCCCGGACGCTATAGAACAATAGAATTCTTTACCCCAACATGTTATTAATAGTACCGATATGCAAACTTTTGACAGAGAAATTGATGCTTACTTTGGTAATGGTTGAAGTACTACCCATTCTGTTTTCCTGTGTTTATTGCTTAGTGGTGTTCTGTTTGTACTCATATTGTACTCCCTCCCTGTTATGACCCTCAAGCGAGGGTTGACAGTATTATTAAATAAATAAAATAAATGGGCACCTTATTGCATGTGAAGCCTATTCACACACACACAAACACACACAAACACACACAAACACACACAAAAAAAGTTAGCTTTTTCAGTGTCCAGTGTCATTTCTCCTGTTGTTTCTGGCACCCACACCTTAAAGGAACACGAAAAAGAAACTAGATTAGATTGATGAATTGTACTCTGAGAACACTAATGTCACAAGTTTCACTATAGTAAGTTTGTTATGAGCAGAGGAAATCAAGGTGGAAGCTTTTAATTTCACGCCAAAATGTCCGTGCACGACTTTAAAAATTTAGAAGTGTATATATTTCATACTTCCGTGACATGGGCTCGACGAAATTTTCAGAAACTTCGTATGGTAGGTCCACAGCACCCACAGATGACAATGCGCTTCATTTTCACCGATTAAAAGCTGCTTAGCACCCAGTAGACATCTTCAAAATCTATGACGTCATGGCGTTTGGTGCGGGAATCTCAAGGTGGCGTCTTGACCCACGTTCTTTTTTTTTGTGTGTTTTCTTGCCCACCAAGCATCTTATCGTGGCAAGAGTGGTGTTTTCAGGATTGTGAAATCGTACGTTATTAATCGTTTGAGACGTTATTGTACAAAATCGTATACAGCCGAGCCCGACTATATCGAAACCGTTTATATCAAATTATCCCGTATATCAAACAATTCCTAAACACGGTAAGTTTACATTGAGAATACATAGCAAAACTTACTGTTTTATCAAACGAAAATAGCAACGACAACTGATATATCAAACTCTACGTGCCTCAAAAGTGCCCCAGCAAGTTGGCTTTCCTTCGCGGTGGCAGGGAAAGCTGCCGGCGCCACCCTAGAAAAAGTTGGTTAGACCCGTTTGTGCGCGGGCGAACACACCCCTCCAAGAAATGATCCTGGCCCACTCGCAGCGCTTACAGGCAATCAGAGGCTGTCGTGCTTTCTCCAAGGCGCGGAGGTGGTAGAAGTGAGCACCATTTTTTATTTCTTTATGCTTGTGTGCTTGCTGCTGCCGATTCAGCGTGGTCTGTGGTGTTGCCTGTTGGTGCTCTGTGAACTGTATTGGCGCGCTGTCATCATGGCTTGCGCAAAGAGGCAAAATTTGCCGTTCGCCGCGAAACTCCAAATTATCAATCGGGTTGAGCGCGGTGAAAAGTCCGACGCCGCCGCCGCGTACAAAATTCCAAGGAGCACCTTGAGTACTATCCTGAAGAATAAAGCAGACATCAGGGCCAAGTCGGACAAAAGGCCAGGTGCCCGTGGCGCCCAACGTGTGCGCGCTGCTGTGTACGAGGATGCTGAAGCGGCCGTTTACAAGTGGTTTGTGGACGTTCGGTCGCGAAACATCCCGATGTCCGGCCCTATGATCGAGCAGAAAGCCTAGGACCTTGCTTTTCTGCTTGGCAGGAATGATTTCCAAGGCGGTTCAGGCTGGCTTCAGCGGTTCAAAGAATGGCACGACATCGTTGGCAAAGCTGTTACAGGTGAAAGCAGAGCGGCGGACCTGGACAGCGCAGAAAAATGGCGAGAGGAAAATTGGCAAGATATCGCAGCAAGATACAGAGCCCAAGATATCTTCAATGCGGATGAAACCACTCTATTTTGGCAAATGTTGCCAAACAAGACACTTGCATGCCGTGGCGACAAGACAAGCGGCGGCAAGGCAAACAAAGCTCGTGTGTCCGTGCTGTTGGCAGCTAATTTAGACGGATCGACAAAGCTTCGACCTCTGGTTATCGGGAAAAGCACAGCACCACGGTGTTTTCGAAATGCGCTGTTGCTTCCAGTTACCTACCGAGCAAACTCAAAGGCGTGGATGACCGGGGAGCTTTTCAGCAGATGGCTATTGTCGTGGAATGACGATTTGGTAGGCGAAAATCGCAAGGTGTGCCTGCTCGTAGACAATTGTTCATCGCACCACCGCAGTACGACCTTCAGCAACATTGAGCTGCGTTTTTTGCCCCCGAACAATACGTCTGTACTGCAACCACCGCATCAAGGCGTTATACGTGCAATGAAAGCCGGCTATCGGAAGCGCCTGGTGGAGAGGCTGTTGCAGAACCTTGGTGTCGGCAGGGAGCTTAAAATCGACTTGCTCGGAGCTATTTCTATGTTGAGTAGATCGTGGGCAGATGTGAAGAAGGAGACGATCCAGAACTGCTTAAGGCATGCCGGCTTTCGCATGCCTGGTGATGACACACCAAATTCTGACAGCACTGAAGACACCGCAGGTGTTTCCGCCGAAGTTTGGAACGAGCTGGCAGAGTTCCCGGGTGCCATCGACGGATCGACATTTGACGAGTTCGTCAGTGCAGACAATGATGTCCCCATCACGGGCCAATTACAGTATGAGGATTACATTGCAGACGTCGTGCCGACCACGAGCCAAAGCGACAGCAATATGCAAGTCGACGACGGCCCATTGCCTACATCCTCCGAAGTGATTAGTGCACTTGCGTTGGTACGGCGCTATTGCTTGAATGTGAAAGGTTGCGGCCTCAGCTGCTCCGACTTGTTGGACAACGTGGAGGTGTGCGTGCTGTCGCAGGCAGCGAAGTCGTTGACACAGAAAAAAATCCGGGACTATTTTGTTCCACAGTAGGGCACGCAAGTAAGCCACCATATTAATAAAGTACTTTTCTTCTAGTTTGTTATGTGCTATTGTGTCAAAACCTATACCGGGCCTATACCGAATTATGCCATATATCGAACTAATAAACGTTTTTTGGCGAGTCCGATATACCCGGGTTCGACAGTACACCACTCGTTCTCGTTATTTGCATCAAGTAGAGGCTAAGAAAGAGCAAAATATATCATACATTATACAAATTGAACCTCCTGCATAAAAAATTTGGCTTTTTTAAACTTGATTTTGCAGTGTACTGATACATATGATCACTTTTCTGAAGGCACTACCACGTTCTATGAGTCGTGCTGATTCCTGCAAGCAATGCGAAAAGCAGAAATTTTCCTTGCTCACAATTGACATAACCAAAAATGAATTTGCACTACATTCCTAGCCTGAGATGAGATTCTGTTTATGCCAAAAGTGAGCATCAATTACTTCAGGATAAAGAGATATTTATTTGCAACTTAATTAGAACAAGTTACATTAACACACAGATTTAACAATTACCTCATTATTCTCGTTGCAATAGAATATTGAGTGTCTTGAAGTAACATTGTAGTGATTTGACACATTTACAGACAGTTCTTAATAGTTGGCGTCTGAAAGGGCTAACACACAAAAAATTGTTTCTTTCTTTAGTGTCCCTGGAAGTACTTAATACGTTTTCGAAGCTTGTTCTAGCTTTTACCAGAGGGTGTACAAAACCCTGCTGCCTCTTAGCCCTCGTGCCACAGTAGCTGTGCCTACCTGTGCAAGTGTGTGCAGCACGGACTGACTGTAGAGGTAGGTGTGCTCCCCGTGGCAGACCATGCGGGTCAGCTCGGACAGGTTCTGGCTCATGCGCTCCTCGCCGCCTTCGAGGAAGTTGTCCGTGGCAGCTCGGAGCACGCGCGAGAACACCTCCAGCTGCTGTGAGGCTGTCGAGATGGACGTGATTTCTGCCTGCACAAGGATTGCAAGGGCACTTGGCAAAGATCGGAACAACAGTAAACAAATGTGCAGCGTGTAGACTGTATGTAATTACTATATGGGGTCATATCAAAAGCTGATCAACATGGAGCCCAGCTTCCAGTGCTGCCGCAGTTTGCACGCATCAGAAAGTTTGTATCTCTTTTACACTAGCATTTAGCCAACAGGTAGAACAGTACTTAAAAGGAACACTCAGTGGGCCAACCTTATACAGCTTCAAAAGACACTTTGTATCAGGTTGTTTCGGAAGTTACGCATCCCTAGTTTTGGGTTTTTCCTTTGTATATCATAAAAAGTAGCACAAAGGTTTATTGTTGGTTATGCAAAATGGAAAAAATGACAGTTATTATGGCAAATGGAATGGCAGTTATGTTCCCGACATTCCTATCCGACAAGTGTGAGATGCAGCAAATTATAAAAAACTATAAAAAATGTAGAAGGCACTATTCTCTCGGCACGCGCTACACTTTTGCGATGATGCAGCTGTGCCAGGGTCAGAAAAAAAAACGCGAGGCCTGCACGGAAGGCGCAGCGCAGTCACAGCAAAAGCTAGAAGAGCAGCCTTTCAGAGCTTTTTCTAAACACTCATTGGGTAACTGCTGCAAGCACACTTGCTGGGTACTCACTACGGCATTAACAATAATAATTTGTGGGTTCGCTATGCTTTCTTTGGTCATTTTTCTGAGAAGCGTTGTATCCGCTAAACACTTGTAAGGAATTATGTGCCATTTGTTCATGCAGTGGCTAACGACGAAGAGGAATTATGCCTGAAGTGGGTATGTGCCACAGTTAATAGGTGATCAAAAGCAAGCTGTTGTAATGGGTTGGAGCATTGGACGACCCACTCGTTCGCTATTTGCATTGTGTGACGCCTCACTGTTTTTTCCTGTTATAAAGCACTTTATGACTCGTATTAACGCGATTCCTTTTCCGACACTAAGCCTGCCTAAGGCAAGCTTGCGAACAAGTCCCAAGCACCAGCATGGCTCAGTGGTAGAATACTGCGCTGGCACGCAGCGGACCCAGGTATGAGCTCCACTGTGTCCTCGGTACGAGGCTTTTTTTTCTTATTTTGCGATAGTGGTTACGGACCGGCGGAGGCGGCGAACAGCTATGGTGACGCGCATCACCCGAGTTTTGATATCATAACAGCTTTCGCTGTAAAATGGGGCAGTCAAACCTGCCTTCTGCTAAGACAAAGAACTGCCAGCTTCCAAGCCCGGGGTTTTCTTGCACCTAGATACAAAGGAGCCACTGCTGCTCTATTCGGCAGTTGAAGGCACTGTGCGAGCAGCCATCTCAAGACGATCATACAGAGACGCTCCGGAAGAAAGAGAAAATGAGACTAGATAAAGCACCAAACAAGAGATGCAACAGCCGGAAGATGCTGTTTTGGGAAAAGCATGGCAGCAGAATAAACACTCTCATCACTGCAAAGGAAGCTTGCAAGAGCATAGACAGTGAGAGTTGGAGAAAAAAAAAATTCAGCAAACGTCCAAGAGGTGGCACCAAGATGCACGAGCAGCAATCTTTTTTTTATGGAGTGAGCATCTGAACCAAGGTTCCCACAGCAGCAGTGTACAAAGCGACAAAGCTACACCTCCGCAGATTGTTACACTCTGCACGGCGCAACCACGGCCACAACAGTGCACGTGTCACCACTAGTAACGAATTGTCAAACAGCATTTTATCTGCGAGAGGAGAAATAATGCTTCTAGAACAGCGTGGCACATGGCGGGAAGTATCAGTACACAGCAACGCTGGAAAGGCTGATGGAAACAAACAACGGCTTGTGGCAAGCGCATCACTCAGCATCTTATGACAAAGAATAACCTTCAGTTCTCATGACTGGCTGCTGTCAGTCCTAATGCTGTCAATTATATTGAGATCACTGTATTCTGAAAAATCTTGTATTTTTCTGAAAGGAACCCTTTCAGAAAAAATACGGTCTAGCAAGCACGCATTCTATTCAGTAAAATTACCGCGATTCCTTAAAAGCGATACCGCCAAGTTTTGGCGCTACATAAAGTTTAATAAACAAAAAAATTCCAACAGCATTTTGCTCGGCGACCAATTTATTCGAGATGAGGCAAAAATAGCAACAGAATTCAACCAGTACTTTCACTCTGTTTTTTCTAACCCACGCGTGTTCGATAATGCCAGTGGAAACTGCGCAGAAATCGACCCCGACTTCATAACATTCGACGGTATCTTTCATATGCTTCTAAACATTAAAAAAAAACCTTCTTGCGGTCCAGATAACATACCTGATGTATTTTTACGACGTTATGCTGAATCGCTTTCCCGCTTTCTTGTTATATTTCCCTTATCCTTATCACAAGGCATTGTACCCGCAGATTGTCACATCGCTTGAGTAACACCAATTTTCAAAAAAGGAAATAATCTCCTCATAACTAATTATAGGCCGATATCCCTTACAAGCACGTGTTGTAAACTGCTGGAGCACAACATTTCAAATTACATGGTAAATTCTTAAGATGCACGAAATGTTCTATCGCCATTCCAGCACAACTTCCGTAAAGGTCTTTCTACAACTACCCAATTAATTTCTTGTCCATTCATTCTCCTCAGTACTAGATAAATCGGGCCAAATTGATGTAATTTTCCTTGACTTCAGCAAGGCATTTGATTCAATACAGCACTCCAATCTATATTACAAGCTTAATCTGGTAGGTTTTCCCTCTACAATTGTTAAATGGGTTGAATCATATTTAAGTTCACATACACAGTTTGTTGACATAAACAGTGTTTATTCTAACCCTCTCCCTGTTAACTCCGGTGTTCCCCAGAGAAGTGTCCTTGGGCCTTTGCTTTTTCTTATTTATATTAATGATATTACAACATGTGCTAAACAAGGTGTAGAAATCCGCTTATTTGCCGATGATTGTATATTATTCCGTTTAATCAACTTTTTAAATGATCAGGTAACGCTGCACCAATCTGTCGAAGCCATATCTGCGTGGTGTGACCGCTGGGGAATGAATGTAAACCCTGATAAAACTATGTTCATGCGCATCACTAACAGGAAACAGCCGTTTATTTACCCGTACAGTATAAAAGAGACCCCACTTTTACTAACAGAAAGTTACAAATATCTTGGTGTAACAATCACTAACAAACTAACTTGGTCTTTTCACATTGAAAAGATTTGTTCATCTGCACGTAGGAAATTAGGCATGCTAAGGCATAGACTCAGTAGTTCTCCCCCAGTACTAAACTTCTAGCTTGTAATAAAATAATCAGGTCTGGTTTGGAATATGCATGTGAGGTGTGGGATCCGCATACTAAAACAGATATTAATCTAGAGAAAATCCAAAGGTAAGCTGTCCGCTTTATTTTCAACCGATTTCGCCGATCTGATTCCCCAACTGAACTAATACATGATAACAAAATTCAAACTCTAGAATGTCGCAGGAAAACTGCAAGACTAAAACTTCTTTTCTATCTATCCAGCAGAAAAAGTGTACTTGAGCTATCAAATATTCTTTCTTCGTTATCTTCGCGTCCAACTAGACGATATCATTCACAAAACTTCACTCCTATCTTTGCTCGAACTAACAATTTCAAATACTCTTTCTTTCCTCGCACATTAACAGAATGGAACGAACTACCACATCACATTTTTGAATCTGGAAAGCGTGTTAAGGTGTATTGAAATCTTTTTTTTTAGGTAACTTGGATCTTGTATTATAATGTGTTGTATATTTACCTGTTAGTTTGTGCCTCCTGTATTGTTGCTTTTTTTTTTGGTCATATTCTCATACTGTACCACCCCCCCTCCTGTCTGGGCTATTCTTAGCCTGCAGTATTTTCTAAATAAAATAAATAAATAAAATAAATGTAGTATTTTAACGGTGTGGGATGAAACTGTATATGCATGTGCAATGTCACTCGACCAGTTGTTTTCCCAACACTGCCACGAAAACAACATTTTAAGTTCACTTCGCTCTCGACTGTAAATGCTCAAACGGCACATTCCTTAGTCTAATAAATGGGACTATTTTTCGCGACGACTCATACATAGACTGTTGAAAGTATTTTAAATCCCGCACTTTTGCCTGAAATTAGCCACAAGAGTGAGATGGCACTGCTAAGTGTTGTCGAGAAATCTGTAAAAGTGTCACCTATTTGAACATGTGCACTAGAGATGTCAGCAGATCTTTTCCCTTCAGTATAAAGCTGCTACTATCAGATATATTAGCACACAACAAAAACTGAGAGCTATAGATGGAGCAGGAAGTTTAAGTTGAGTAACCTTCAACCGTTGAACACCAATGTTTGCCAATACGTCAACATAAGAAGCGTATGAGACGGCAATGAAGGCTTTTAAGAAGCAGCATATTAAACGGCAATGAATGCTTTTAAAGGCTTTTGAATAGAGCTCAGCTGACGGGATTCTTACTATAAGTCGTTGTGTACATATCTATGGTTTTAGACACATACATACACAAATTCACAATTTTTTCTTTAATTTCTGATATCATATTCAACTCGCCACATTTGAGTAGTCTGGAGCTCTCCGGCTGTATAAATTGCATTCAGCCAGCTGTATGGTTTGCATTAAGCACTCGGAAGACATTCAACTGGTTCATTCAGAGTTTTGCACTTCAACTCAAAGTGCTCACACTTTCAAATTACATCTGACAGGGTATCCTGACAATGTGGATCATCTTATTGCTCTAAGATCAGCTGAATTACTAGGTAGTGCTTTTATCGAGCTACTACCCCTACAGGGTTGCACATTCTTGTAAATTGAGTGGCCAACATGATGGAAACCAGTTGAAACAAGGCGATAGGATGGCGATATGAATATGAACTGAGTGCTCTGAGGGCAGTCCCTCCCATTCCCCTACCTGAAATCCCGCATCCGAGATGAGCTTGATGGTGAAGTTAAGCATGAGGCAGTCAGGGTACTCCTCAGCCAGCTTGTAGATAAGTGAGCGCCACGTGGGGTGCTCAATCATCTCCGTCAGCCAAGCGGGCGTCTCACCCTCATCGTTGAAGATGGAGTCGGCCTTCTTCGGGTCGAAGTGCTTCAGGATCATCTGCTTCAGGTGGTCCTCCACCAGTCCTTGAACCTGCCTCGCCAAAGGTCGCGAGTGATAAACAGTGAGCAGAAACAGCCCTCGCTGCGATTACGTAGCTGCACATCCGTATAAGTTGAAGCTGGAATTTCAAGAGAAGTGCCAGTTTCGCCCATATTTGAAGAAGTGAAAGAGTTCAACATCATGCTGGCGTGACGACAATTTTACATCCAATTTTTATGGATGCTGGACCTGGCATGTAACCTGCTAGTTGTCAGCTAGCTTGAACTGGTTCCAGCAGTGCTCAGGAAAAAACCAGTATCTTTAGTGCGCCAGTACGAAAACCTAGCAAGCACCACGCTCGAACTAGTGCAGTCAGCAGGCTGCCTGCTGTAGCCAACAGACAATCATTAAGCACCCTATTGGAACCACAGTGAGAAACAAGAAGGCTACCTAATGGTGTTATTAGAAACCTGTACAAACCAGAAGCTTCCAGCACGAAACCAGCCGGAAAACTTCGCCTAGGTAGCACCTTGATGGTGCAAGAAACGCTGCTTTTTTTTCTTTTTTTAACACGACTGCGCAAGACAGCCGAACTAATCGACAGCCCACAGAAAATCATAAGATGCGGTAAACAGACATAAGCAGCTTCGCACGTATAGCCCAAGCGATAGGCGCTAAAACGTCATTGCGATGGCTTTTCTACGTTGGCCACATTACTTCGGCGGATATGCACCGTCAACGGAACGGGGTTTTTCAGAGCGTTCCGCGCAAACGCAATAGCCCAGCTGCAGATGTTTACCTCGGTTATCTTCATCCCTGCCATGATGAGCCATTCGGCCAGGAGGTTCGCCGTCTGTGCGACCGCCTGGTAGTTCTCGAGCAGCAGGTCCACGACTTGCTCCGGATTGCCACCAGCCTGGAAGTAGCGCTTGAGCTGCACGAATATGCCGGGCTCCATGATGAAGTCCAGGCTGCTGAACTTTTCGATGCACTCCTGTTGGATTCCTTCCACGAGGGCTTCCTGGTCCTCGCCCAGGGGTGAATCGGCGTCGCCTTCCTCCCACGTTCTTTCCTCGTCGAATTCTTCCATCTTCTCTAAGGATAGAATAGGCTAACAGAGTTTCAACGCACCTTAAACTAATCAACCTTGCAACTAAAACAATAGCTGTAAGCTGACTTGGATGGAATTGGCTCGGATTGGCAGCGGCCGCGTTTGCAACATAACGCTTTTTTTTTCTTGCTTAAGGACAGAAAAACACATCTTTAATGACAATCAACTGGAAGTCACCTTGAATTGATTTTGTTACAAATTTTATTACCATGGTGTCAATTTAGATTCTGATGTGATATCGAACTCGCTTGATGCCAGTGCAGACTGCAGATCCTGTTGAGCAAGTGTTCTGTGGCAACACCTGGCAACACTGTAAAGAACAATTTCGCACTTTTAACTAGAGTGTACTAGAATGGGGGAGTGGGTCCACTGAAGGCTCCACGCTGAGGCGTTTTTTTCGGAAAATCCAGGTGGCGCTACCATCGCCTTCACCTGAAGACTTAGCCGTGGTTGCCATGGTTACAAGTCCCCTTTGCCACGCGGTTCGCGACGGGTGGGTAGTCTGATAGTTCGCGCGGTTCGCGTGCTGCTCGCGCGTCTGGCGCAGTCTCGCAGCGTTGTTGCTTCGTTCGTGCGTGCGTGGCCGTGAACGGCGTCGCACCGTGCTTCCGCGCCAGTTCAACAAAATCTAAATGTTTATATTGCGAAACGCCCTGCTCGTATAGGTAGTCACGCACGCAAGTACCGTGATTTCCACGGTAATTGTTTACAATCAAGAGCGTAAGTTGAATTTGGCTTTTGCGAAAACGTACGCATCGAAAGTGTAATATGAGCATTAACTGCGATGCTTTTAAAAATGTCAATATAACTGGGATATATAAGTAAGTTTGCGTTTGGTGCAAATTTAGACTCACGGCAGCAAATTGAATATGATGCAAGACTAAAGTTACCAGCTGTTATCACGAGAATTAAAGCTAAAGTATGCGAACCCTTCTGCAAATTTGCAGCTATTCGTTAGGGACGCGTGATATTATTGAAAAACTGAACCAGTCCTGTTGCGATTACGTGAGGGTGTTGGCAAAGGAAGTTTAGTCACATCGGACGGCAACTGTGCTATTCGTAGGAAATGACTTATAGGGCGGACGCACGTCCGTCGCGGTGGTTTTATGATGAGTTTTTGTTCGGCATCTAGTGCTGGTATACGTTGTAGGTATTAATGAAATATGTTATATTTTACCTTTTCTCTTCGTGCCTGCGGTACGTGTCCATGCAAACATTTGTTCGAAACATGAACGTGTTTTCACCTATAGATAGGAAGTCTGAAAGACACCAATAAAGAAGTGATATGCGCAAAATATTTTATTTTAAATTGACTGCGCAAGCTTTTCGCATAAATATAAAAAACAAAATAAATATCATCGAAAGACTTCGACACCGTCGCTCAAGGAACGTCAGGCTCTATGTTGTCCTGCTAAGCTTTAAGTGTTTTGCTCTCGCTCGTTTCGAAGCGTTTTCCCTGTTCATTCCCTTCACTAAGAAGTGAAGGCGAGTGAGCACGTAGAACGAAACGAGCTTTGTGCTCACTGCATCTTTGTGGTCTGGACAGCCGACCGCTTTCGAGTTCAGAAAATTAGTTTTCACCAATGAAAGGATGTCAGAGATGCTATCTGTGTGCAACATGGAAACACTGAAACATTCAGTAAACAAGTTTTCAAGTGAGGCAATGAAATCATACAGCTGTCGTGAGGGGTACAGAAGTCCACCCCAGTCGCATTGCTCCGTGAATTGCGAAGGGAGCTGTTCAGCAACCGCGACAGCTTTCTCAAACAGAAGCACTTCTTTGCATTGTACGCATGCCAACTTCAATACACACTTTCTGGCCACGTACCCTGCTGTGTAGTAAATGAGTCTCGAGTCACTCTTCTCCAAAGTCACATCGATGTGGTCAGCAAACTTTTCTGGCATCGTGGCAATCGTGCTTTCGACCTCGCCAAGTTTTCCCTGTGATATAAGATCATCAATTTTTTTGTGCGTGACCTTTAGACCCTGTCTGTCATGCACAGTGACAAGAGCGTTTATCATGTCAGGGTTTGCGTTTGCGCTGTCCACACTGTGCGCCAAGTTATAAAAGGACAAGCAGTTGACGGTTATTAGAAACTCATCCGGAGAGGGGTGCGCGTTGCAGCCACTTGACTGGCGAACGATGCCGAAGAAATGTTCCACGGGATCGGTGCTAAGTCGAGATGTCATGAGATATTTGAATCCAACGCTCTCTGTCAGGTACTTCAGCAATGAAAGGGTATTTGCTATAGTGACCCTAAAACCTATGGCAGTGGACTCGCTGAGAAAGTGCCGCTTGTTGTCACTGAATGATTCCCAGTCATTCAGGAAGTCCAGAAAATTGGACAGGAATGCCACGTCTGTAGAAGCTGGTCTCAGCGCTTCGGCCCGAAACCTGGAAGTCATCACGGTGATCAGTCGTTGGATCTTCCTGCAAAATAAACAAAAAGAATGTATGTCAGAAGAGCGCTCATCATGCGTTTGAGATGTTTACGATTACACTTAATTCATTTGGAACGTAGGCGCAACTCACGAGAAGAACAGCTGAGTTGCCTCGATGCTGCCACACCTTCTCTCGATGTCCTCCTTGTAGAAGGCCAGGCCCCGTAGGACATATGGACCGAATAGTTGGAAGGCGAAAGGGGTTCTCATCTTCTCAAATGAGTTTGGTTCCAGATGCGTCTCGGTCAAATTGGGCATAACTTTCAGTGTCCTAACACTTCTGTCTAGAAGGTACGCCTCCCGAACCGGATGCACAGACACCTAGAAATATAGGTTGAGGTAATGCAATGTATGCAAAAAACACAATCTTTGTAAAATGTCAACCATGAATCTATACGTACCAATCCGTCTGGTGTTGCAAAGCCTTTCTGGAGAAGACCATTCCTGAGGCATTTTAGCAGATGCGGGAAATCGGAGATAAAGTGCAATTTCCTCATCTCGTCGACAGGATGCTGTATGGCGCCATTTATTTTCTTCGATGACGCCGACACCCCCGCTAGCTTCCACATTTTTCGATTCCAGGGGGCTCCGTCACAAGTGATGTGGTCGACGAACAAGCCCGCCTGTTCCACGAGGATGGTAGCTTCCATGAGAATTTTCAATAAAATGTCTCCTCTCACATTTCCTTTTGTCGCAAAAACGCCCACAATTTGGCTCCATTTTCCAGCGAAAGGCACAAACATGATGACCATGCCGTGATCACATTGCTGGTACTTGTCTTCGGGCTTCGTAAATTCTCCAAGGTCCACGAAGCCTTGAATCTGGCCAGACGCCGTCACATTGAAATGTTCTGACAATTTCATTTCGTCCACCAATAGTCCGCCGTGTCTTTCGAGGTCTGACATGCTCGCGGTTTTTTTCTTTAGAGTGTTCATTACTGCTTGATTAAAACCGAAGGCCGACTCGTATGACCTCAAGTATCTTTTCAAAGTAGTGTTGCTGGGCATCATGAGAATTTCGTTCTTTCTGATGTGCTGATAAAGCCGGGGACTCTTTAGTTTCATGAGTAAACACTCGAGGATCCACTCCTGATTGTAGCGCATGCCCTGCTTGCTGGTTTGTTTGGCAGCTTGAAAGCAAGCGCGAACACTTGCCTGCTGCTTTCGCGGTAGTGACGATATTTTATCCTCTAGTATTTTATCCGCGACATTCGCATTGTTTGCCCTCATCTCTTCGAGACGACCAGCAATGTCCAACAGCCTTGTCGCCATCCGCTTGTTTCTCTGACTCAGGACCCGCAGTTTGGTGGAGACTGAGTTTCTTCGCTCTTTTCGTTTTAGGTAGCTTTTTCTGGTGAGTATTACTTTCCTCACGTACTTGCATGAAATGCATGAAGAACCTGGAAGTATACGAGAAAAAAATTATGAAGAGCTTCCAGTTTTTTACCATGCATGTTTGAAACGCAATTTATGCACTTTCACTTTCTGTAGGCAAACTATTCTTTCGTAAATGTTAATGAGTACTACAAAAATTAGGGGCCACACAAATGTTCTAGCATTAAACAGGTTACTGATTGATTAATTGTACAATTACAAGTGACGTCTCAATAAACGTTTGCCGCACTCACCTTGTTGTTTAACCGCTCCTTTGCACGTGACACTGAAGACAAGGCCGTCGGAATGAGAGATTTGCTGCTCCAGTTTCTTCGTAAGAACGTCATAGGTGAAGTCCTTCGCCCTACCTGCTCCTCTGCAAGGGTGAAGAGATTCTGCGCAGTCCAGGACTTGTTTGGCATCTTCAAGGTTATAGGCGACCTTTTCGGAGATCAGCGTCTTCCGAACATATGTCCGACAAATCACTTCACTCCGGTCGGTACCGTAATTCATGAGCACAGTCTTTTCGATGCTTACGAGTTCACGACTTAGGGAGGCCGAAACATAAGCAATTCCGTCATAATGACGAAACTTGTGCATTGCCCAGTGGTCGTTTGGCCGGACAACGTCTTCAAGTTCAAATGCGTTGTCGCTTTGCCTCGCACTTTCGCAATCTTCAAATCTCAGTTGCGGCTCAACTGATTGCAGCGCAGTTCTTTTTGACGGCTGGTCTTCACAGGTTGGTGGTGAAGCCGCTCTCTTCTTCGTTGACTGCTCCGGTGTGGGCTGCTCGTCAGGACACTTCAGGAGATGAGGTATAATTATGGGTACAGCATCACTGCGAAGTTCCGGCTTTCCCCGCTCTATATATACTTCTCGGCCTTCGATAATATGTACATATTGCCTTAGTATGTATTTTTGCTCGAAGTGCAGCTCGCAAATGGCATCGGTGACTTGCAAGGGCCGATCAGCGCGGTTGAGATTCTGGTCCCATAGCCGGCGTCTTTCTTCGTCTTGAGGTACTCCAAAGAGTGAGAGCTTGGGCTGGTTTTTAACTCTGCTGTATCCGGTTTGGCAGCCTACGACACAACAGTAATTTCTACGCCTAGACGTGCTCATCCTCTAATCTTTTGAAGCAGCTTGGAACGCTCCGTTATGCAACCAGCAGACACATATCTGCGCACGCAAACGTGCCGTCTGCCGCGTATTCTTTGTCCAGACGGCTTTGCTCAAAGGGAAATACAAACCTACGCGTTCACGAAAAAAAGCATACATTTTATTTCATGTCACTTGTTTTTGTCTCTAATAATGTGTAAAAAAAGAACCAGGAGACAAATTGTGAAAACAGCGCACGAACGACGGTGCATCGAACAGACGACGGCGCGTCGAGCAGACGACAACATCGAGCGCTCAGCGTCCCCGCCAGCGCGTCGTGCGGCCCGAACCGCCGCACGACTCGCACGCTCCCGCCGAAACTGACGTCACTTCAGGAGAAGGCTACTGCAGCGCCACCAAATTTTCCGCCGTTTTTGCTTCACCCGCACCGCTTGCCGCCGGCCACAGTGGACCCACTCCCCCATTCTAGTACACTCTACTTTTAACTTTGCAGCTGACAGTTGGTTTGCAATTTTACATCTCGAATCGAGCCCTCGTATAAATTTGGTTTAGCGTGAACCAGGTTCGTCTTTTGCTTCTGATGTATTCGTCGCGGGCCGTTTCGCTCGTTTGTGTGCATTAACAGGCTCGTGCGTTCACTTCCACTTGCGTGCCGTCATTGACTGTCAAGCTCTCGTCGTTTTCCCGTTGGTAAGTGAACCCGTACCCTTCACGACGTTGCATGGGGCTTGTCTAGCTACCCGAACGCTTTCGCAGTTGCTTCGCGATTAGTTTATCGCTCTGTAATTCGCATAGCAAGCTCCGCAAAAAACCGCGTGGGACAGTCGCAAGCACATTGGGGAGTTTTCTTGTGATGCGAGCCGGTGCAACAGAACCTAACACTTCTCAGTGACGGCACTGACTCGTCCATTACTCGTGCCTCGTGGTTGAACTTTTCCATGGGAAAAATTTGTTTAATGTTCGCCTGTATTTTAATGGAAATGCTGGATAAAGCTTTACTCCTGCCGTAAAATTTGTCCGCATTACCAAACACGAACGTACTGGCTGTCTGCTTGGTGAAGAGACCATACACTACGCTGCTTGACTTGAAAGTGACTTGCCAACGACTTCAGTGCAACACAAACGCGTTTCGCACGTGCTGTCTTTAGGCGGTGCCAAGGCAGCACAAACGCACAGGCGCGTTTCAAACGCGCTGCATTAAAAGTGGTTTCAAGTCGGAGTATTTCTTACCGCGAGTATTCGGAAACGCTCCTTGACTTGAAAATTGCCTTCAATGCAGCACGTTTGAAACGCGTTTGTGCTGCCTTGGCACCGCCTAAAGACAGCGCGTTCGAAACGCGTTTGTGCTGCGTTAAGTCGGTGGCAAGTCAAGTAAAGCAGCGTCTCTGATTATTCAAAAACGCTCTTCGACTTTAAACCGCCCTTTTTAAACGCGTCTGTGCATTTGTGCTGCCTTGGCACCGCCTAAAGACAACGCGTTTGTGCTGCATTGGAGTGGGTGGCAAGTAAATTTCAGGTCAAGCAGCGTTTCTGAATACGGCAGTAAGTCCTGTGTTTGCTGCTGGGCCGCGAGGGCTCGTAACGCATTTGTTTCATTGTTCTGCGTTGGCAATCGCATACTGCACTTTTTCACATTTAAATAGGGGTGTAGCAAAAAAATGTTTTCAAGGGCGGGGGAGAGGGGGGTGACCTCTCAAACCCCCAATTTGGCTGCGCCAATGTAGTCTATGCCAAATGCACTGATGCCATGCAAATTCTATGGAGCGATATTCTGTTCCGCCGCTGTGGTCTAGTGGCTAAGGTACTCGGCTGCTGACCCGCAGGTCGCGGGTTCAAATCCCGGCTGCGGCGGCTGCATTTCCGATGGTGGCGGAAATGTTCTAGGCCCGTGTACTCAGATTTGGGTGCATGTTAAAGATCCCCAGGCGGTCGAAATTTCCGGAGCCCTCCACTACGGCGTCTCTCATAATCATATGGTGGTTTTGGGACGTTAAACCCCACAAATCAATCAAATGGAGTGATATTCTTCTCTATGTTATGATTTGTCTTGGTTGTGTCATGCTGGTCATCACATAATTTGCATGCTAGAGTGCTGCCCAGTTGATGACAGCCACAGCTCATTGAAAGCTTACCGGTGTTGACAGTAGCATAACCACTGTGTGCATTTTTTTCTTCCTTATTTTTGTGTGCAACTGCTGAACTTTAGTACTTACATGTACTTTGCAGTTGTAACTGGTGTCTGAGGTTCAAGTTGACTTAATGTGCTGATAAAAGAATACTGGGTGTGATGATCTTGGCCAGCAATTTTGTTTGAGCTTGGCAAGACTGTCCATGTATGTGGTGCCCTCCTTGTGTGATTGTCTAGTCTTCGCTGTAAATTTCAGGTAGTGCACCAGCTATGTCTGCAAACTGTTGCATATTCAAGGCTTCTAGCCTATAGTGAACTTTATGTAAAGGAATGGTGGCATGTGCCACTTAACAGATGGTCCCGTGCCATTTATGAGAAGTTTTTTTCTCGCAGAAGAGTGGTAAGTTGGCCCAGTTGGTACTGGTTCATGGTGTAACTGCGTCCCCGTCAGTTCTTGCACAGTTACACCATCAAGCTTTTTCTCTTTCCTCTCACTTGCAGTTTGCGGCACTTGGGAGATTCAAGGTAGCAAAGCGTAATTGCCATGTCAACACCAGCTCATTCTGCGACTCCGGAAACCCGTTTGGATGCTCTGGAGTCGTCGCTGCTTGTGCTTTCACAGAAGATGGAGACGCTGCGGCCACTGCTACATCGCGTCCTTGAGAACAGCCAGGCTTTGCAGCTTCAGCCAGCTGGAGGCATGCCAGCAGCCTCGTCCTCTACAGCCTCCTTTGGGTCGCAGTTCCTGCACAGCTTCTTTGCCGAGGATGATGATGAGGGAGGTGGAGGTGACATCTCTGAAATCACTCAGGTCTGACTTGTCACATATGAGGTCATTCACACTCATTTTGTTCTATAGCCCATCGTATTGGCTTTACAGTTAGTTGCCTTCCTTAAGGAGAGATGGTGGTTGAACACTTTTTTTTTTCTGAAATCGGATATTTTTAATATTCATTTGCCCTCACAAGCTTAGTTGCTCAACTATCACATAGGAAAAATTGAAGATTGTAATTCAACTCGAAGTAGGTTAAAATCACTTTTAAAGAAAACAAGGTTGCTACCCAAAAGACTACAGAGAGTTCATTGTCTAGAGTCCCCTGGAAATAATCACCTGGCTGCTTCTCATTGCATTTTGCATGGGGAGTTTACTCAAGCCACATGCATGCTCAAAATAACCGATTGCCAAGCTCTCGTGGTGGGAGAAGTCATTTTAAAAAACGTTTGTCCCATAGGTGAGCTTTGACATAAAGGCCAACTCCGGCGATTTTTCGAGGTCAATGGATCTCAATGAAATTCGCTGGGTACATTCCTTTGCACATTTGTCATTTATGCCAAATTGCAGGTTTGTGGGATGCGCTGATTGTTTGCAAATGAATTTTAAAGATTGCCTCGAAAAGCTCACCTTGCTTGCCAGAATTAATGGCAACACTCTATGTGGCATCATGTTTGGCATGTCAACGGAAGTGACGCAGCTGATGGCATCGCTACTTTAGCCACTGCAGCGTTTATTGTGCTGGCCACGAGGCGATGGCGGCGGTATTCGGCACGGCTATAGCACAGGAAAGCGTTCTTCCTTCCTCTGTGGTGTTTGGTTGGCACTCCACTGGTATGGCTTTCACAGTTTTCATATACCACGTTGGGGGCACCAGTGTACGGACCCCGGTACTTACCAAATAGTACGTCATATGCTAACAGAGCACCCGGTTGGGTTTCGGTTTCGGTATTATACCTTTTTTATTATTAAAAATTATTTTCAAATTTTCTGAGCATTTCAGCTATTGGGCTCGTGACAAGATTGTCTCAGGAACATAGAAACACCATTACCTTGACATAATCGGAAAAGCTGCGGAGCTGGCCTTTAAATCTTTAAAATGTGTTTTTCTCTAGATTCATTTTGGGGCAATCTCTTAAGGTTAGACATCATGTGTTTTTCTCTAGATTCATTTTGGGGCAATCTCTTAAGGTTAGACATCATGCTTTCGGTACTTCTGATAGCCATATCAGGATGAACTTTTGCCCAGATATTCCTTAACATGTGAAGGGTTCAAGCATCTCCTTTATAAATTTATATTGCCTGTAAGTTATTGCAAAGATAACGCATGCAAATTAGTATGGGCTGTAGGAATTTTCACATTACAATTTGTCTTGTCCAAATGTCTTATACACACTTTCTTGATAGTTATTTGCATTCTACTGTTAATAAGGAGCAATATGTGCCTGCAATTGCTCAGAACCATAAAGGTTTAATAGCATAAAAAGTTTGTCTAAAACCAACTATATTTTACACATTGTCATGACACAAAACGAAAACTGTGCAACTTTCTACAAAACTAATTACACATTTGAAATCGGCATAAAAGCCTACAGATTCACAACACATCTTTTTCGAATCGCATCTCCCCTTAAAAAAAATGTGGGCATGGCTTGATGAGGTTCACAGTGCTGAAAATGCAACGAATTCAGTGTGCAGACCATGCAACATTTGAGAGAGCAAGATGCAGCGAGATTTCAAAGCATTGGGAGGTGGAGATTGTGGAAATTTTTTTCCTTGTCAAATAGGACTTCGAAATAAAATTGTTAACTTTTTTTATTGTGTTTTTACAGTCCCTGATAGTCTCAAAGTTGAATCGTGAATGCTCTAATGTATCATATAGTTGGTGTTAGCATTTTAATTGCTATCATTTAAGGTGCCACTAAAGTACTGATATTAAAGTGTCTAAGACAACTTGCGATCAAGCTTTGGCAACATTAAAAGTGTAGTTTTCAAATTGAGGCCCTGCGCATAGTAAAGAACGAAACTATTGGGGTGCTTTGGTATGATTTCAGCCAATTATGCAATTATTTGGCCATCACAAGGGTGCCCCTTTGGAAAAAGAAAGGCATTCAATAGGTAAAAAGCCAGGACCACTTTGACAGCGGTCAGACAGTAGAGTGAGAGGGCAAAGAACGTTAGCCCTAGTTGAGTATCAGTCGGGATATTCAAAAATCTTCTGTGTTATCAACAATACCTACTTTACTCCTGGAATGTTGCACGAAGTCCCCGACCTACATCATACTAGTGGTGATATTGCGATGTGGCTGCCAGCTTGGATAATCACTGTTTATTTTAAAACCACATTAAAATGTACTAAAGGCAATGTATAGCACTCTTTACTAGTTAGGAGTACTTACATACAGTACAATAATAATAAAAAAGACATATCAAAATTTTAAATATGCTGCCAGGCGTCCTTTAATGTGGTCCTGTGCCGTGACTTGGTTATTCAGAATGCTCTTCTGGCATCCAGGGCTGCGTGGGACAAGTTACTCGATTACTAATCCCAGTACTGTAAAATATTGCCTTTATAGTTACCATGATTTATTAAACCAAAGGCCAACACTTGAGTTTAGACGTCTGTGATGTTCTGATGCCACAGTGAAAACGTGAGCATGTGGTTTGTTTCAAAGCACCACTGCTCTTAACATCAGGGGCATGAAAGTGGGGACACAAAAACTTTTGACCTTTCACCAAGAATATGTAAAGAAAGGAAGGAATTTCAAAACAACCAAATGGAGTGGCCAGTACCACACTATTGGCTAAGGATGCCGACGTTGCTGAAAGCACCATGCTGGAGCACCAGCATGTGGGGACGCGTTGCTTCCGATGTCTCATTCATGTTCTCGAAAAATCAGCTGCAGGTTCTTTCATTATTCATGCACAGAGACGTTTCTACTGCCCCGTTTTCTCACAGACGCAAGTTGTTTGTCATCAAAGCCGCCATCGTGGAGTCCCAATTTCTTTCGAAGTTGGGTCCATGATCCCGCGTGCAAGCTATCTATAGGTACAATAAGGATTGGTAGTGATGTAGATGCAGAACTAGCTCCCATAGTCTTGCAACCCTCTGTGCAGGATCACAAAAGTTATTCAGGCGAAAAGCAATGGCATGTGGAAGTTGCAGTCATATAGAAATTACGTGAATGATAGAAATACAGCAATTGAATACATTAATGAAATACGAGGATGTGAAGAAATGTAAGTTTTTCAGACTGCCTTTGATTCATGCTTTTGCCCTTCAGGCACAATAACAATAGATTTGTGTGTTTGTGACACAACATACTAGAATCTCTAAATTGTGTAGTTAACAAAAATATCTATTTGTGTACTGGTTGTGTGGCAACGACTGAAGTCTCCATTGACCTGCAAGAGCACTTTAACTGTACACGTGGCAGCGGTGATGATCCAATGCCATCCCTCCCTCCCCCTTTTCCTTCCTTCTCGTGCTTTTAAAGTACACTCTATAAGGAAAAGTAAAGTATTTGGGGAGTATTGCTGCCTCACAGCTATGATTGTCATCTACCTACATCTACCTTGTCATCTGCTTTCCTTTGTTGTCACTGCGGTTCTGGCACTTTCTGGGTACAAGCGTACGAGTTACCAGCGTGACAGCCATCGTGGTAGGGAAGTGGGGAGAGCTGGGCTCTTATGAAAGAAAACTCCAACAAGCCTGATGAATATTATAATTGTGTGGGGAAAATGCTCCCCAAGTACTTTTTTTTTCTTAGATTGTAGCATGCGGAATGCAATGCTGTGTAATCTGAAGGTCTTACGCTTCCTTTATGCAGCAGCACCATTGTTTGTGTTCCAATCGCCCCACGTTGTGGTCCGGTAGTTATGGTGTTCGACTGCTAAGACAAATGTTGCAGGATCAAATCCGTACAGGGGCGGCTGCGTTTTGGTGACAATGAAGTGCTTGAGGCTTGTGCACCTAGGTTTAGGTGGACAGTGAAGAATGCTGGCTGGTCCAAATTTACAGAGCCTGCCACCGCAGTGTGCACCATAATCATATTGCGGTTTAGGCATGTAAAACCTCCACGTTTATTTTTGTATTTGTTGCAGGAAATAAGACTGCAAAACTCTCGTCGCAATGCCACGTTCTGAATAAAGTACTACCCAATTTTTTTTTTGCGAGTGCACGCTAGACAACTGCAGTTGTGATAAATTTTTCAAATTAATTTTTTATATTTTCACTCTATCCATAAACATCTGGAAGTAACAGAAAATATTTGAAATTTGGGTAACAATGTGGATATTCTCTTTTTTCTTTCATTATAAAAATAGCTAAATCACACATTCTTTTGTCGCAATGAATGCCTCATTTAGTTTCACTGTAACAATCGTCCACTTATATGAAGTCCATTTTTGAAGGCATTCGATAACTCAAGAACAGAAACTCTCATATTCTCATTGTGTGCTTTGCTGTATTGTGACAAGTGAAGTGAGCAATTGGTGTTTCTTGTTATCGGCGCGCACAGGAGAGCCAGTGGACGGGGGAAGATTTTGATGCTAGCCGTCCAGTGGCGCCCTACATCGGTCGCTTTGTGCGTCGATGCTGGCAGGCTCGGGGGCGAGCGGGCCGCTGTCGCAAGGCTCGTTCAGCCTACCCAAACCCAAACTTGCCTTTCTTGAAGGTATGTGCTGGTTAAAATTTTGACGAGTTTTTTTTTTTACACTACCAGTTATCCCTCACAGTACAGACATCCTGTGACATTAACTGTTTTGCTGAGAATGGGAATTTCTGCTATAAATTAAATTTACTAATTTATTTTACACGTGTAGTATGTACCATATTGTCACGGGGTCGTGACGTGGCCAAAGACAGAAAACTTCGTGTTGGGATTTAACTGTTTATTTGGGCGAACCTGTGCCCGGTAAAGGGAAAGTCTAATTACAGCAGCAGTCTTGCACAGATAGCAGTCTCGGACTGATAGCGGCGAATGCAGCGTCGGCCTTCGATCAACAACTGACAAGCGGCAAAGCGCGTCGGCATTTATACTCTTGCCGTCGAATGTTCTAGCGTTATCGCTGGCGGTGGCGTAGGTTCCAGAACAATCTGTACCGTTCGCACAGTGGGCGTGATCTTATCGAAATGATCTACTACAGTCCGGAACCTTCTCGAAACCTGCAGGCGCGGTTTGCGCCGAGAATCGTGTGGTGTTTCGGAACGATAACAAAAACTTGTGAAATGGAAAGTGGCATTGCCCCCCTCTGAAAAAAGGCATCGTCCCGATGCTTTAACTAAAGATGAAGGTACAATAATAATGCAAGAAAGTACAATGAATAAATTACAATACAACAATAATACAAAAAAAAAAACACTGTTTCAGTTTGTTAACGTGCATGAAACAGCTTGAGGCGCGCGACATGGACGACTTCAGGTCGCGATCGGCGTCGTTGAGAGTTCGTGTTGCCGTCGGGGACAACCTCGTAATCAAGTGGGCCGAGACGTCGAACCACCTTGTACGGTCCGAAGTACCGTCGCAGAAGCTTTTCACTTAGTCCACGTCGGCGTATCGGCGTCCACACCCAAACACGTTCACCGGGCTGGTATTCCACGAAGCGTCGTCGAAGGTTGTAACGGTGGCTCTCGGTCGTCTGTTGAATCTTGATACGAAGACGCGCAAGTTGTCGGGCTTCTTCGGCGCGTTGAAGGTACTCGCTCACATCGAGGTTTTCTTCGTCAGTGACGTTGGGTAACATGGCATCGAGCGTCGTTGCCGGGCTCCTTCCGTAGACCAATTTGTATGGAGATATCTGCGTCGTCTCCTGCACCGCCGTGTTGTATACGAAGGTCACATACGGAAGAATGGTGTCCCACGTCTTGTGTTCGACATCGACGTACATTGACAGCATGTCGGCGATCGTCTTGTTAAGCCGCTCGGTGAGGCCGTTGGTCTGTGGGTGGTACGCTGTCGTCCGGCGGTGGTTTGTTTGGCTGTATGCCAAGATCGCTTGAGTTAAGTCGGCAGTGAATGCCGTTCCTCTGTCGGTGATAAGGACCTCCGGGGCGCCGTGACGTAGGACGATATTTTCGACGAAGAACTTAGCTACCTCGGATGCACTGCCTTTTGGCAAGGCTTTTGTCTCGGCGTAGCGGGTGAGGTAGTCGGTAGCTACCACGATCCACTTGTTTCCGAAAGCCGTCGTCGGGAACGGCCCCAGTAGGTCCATACCAATCTGCTGGAAAGGTCGGCAAGGTGGATCAATTGGCTGCAGAAGTCCCGCTGGCCTTGTTGGCGGTGTCTTGCGTCGCTGACAGTCCCGGCATGTCCTCACATAACGAGTGACGTCGGTGGTAAGACGTGGCCAGTAGTACCTTTCTTGTATCCTCGCGAGCGTGCGGGAAACACCGAGGTGCCCTGCCGTCGGATCGTCGTGCAGGGCCTGCAGGAGTTCTGGTCGCAGAGCTGAAGGCACCACAAGGAGGTACTTAGCTCGAAGCGGTGAAAAGTTTTTCTTTTGTAGAAGACCGTTTCGTAGAAAGAACGACGCAAGTGCGCGCTTGAATACCTTCGGGACTTCGGCGGTGCTGCCTTCGAGGTATTCTATTAGGGCCTTAAGTTCCGGGTCGGCCCTCTGTCGTTCAGCGAAGTCGTCGGTAGTTTTCGTTCCTAAGAAGTAGTCGTCATCCGGGTCGTTGGGTAGCGGTTGGTCGACAGGCGCACGAGAGAGACAGTCGGCGTCGGAGTGTTTTTTGCCGGACTTGTAAATGACAGTAATGTCATATTCTTGAAGTCTCAGGCTCCATCGTGCGAGGCGACCTGAAGGGTCCTTCAAGGTGGCTAGCCAACACAATGTGCGGTGGTCGCTCACAACTTTGAAGAGTCTGCCGTAGAGGTAGGGGCGAAATTTCGACGTAGCCCAGATGATGGCGAGGCACTCCTTTTCTGTTGTGGAATAATTTGCTTCTGCTTTGGATAGCGATCGGCTGGCGTAACTAATAACCCTTTCAAGTCCGTCAGCCCTCTGCACAAGAACGGCGCCAAGACCTACGCTCCTTGCGTCAGTATGTATTTCTGTCTCGGCGAATTCGTCGAAATGGGCAAGTAACGGAGGCGTCTGGAGGCGATGTTTAAGCTCCTGGAAAGCGTGTTCCTGCGGCGTTTCCCACTTAAACTCCACGTCGGCCTTGGTAAGGTTAGTGAGAAGATCGGCGATGCGGGCGAAGTTTTTCACGAACCGCCTATAATAGGCACACAGGCCCAGAAATCGGTGCACGGCTTTCTTGTCAGTGGGCGGCGGGAAGACGGCGATGGCGGCTGTTTTCCGTGGATCGGGACGAACTCCAGACTTGCTGATAACGCGCCCCAGAAACAAGAGCTCCTCATACGCAAATCTGCACTTTTCTGGCTTCAGTGTGAGTCCGGACGTCTTGATGGCTTGAAGTACAGCTTCAAGGCGCCGAAGATGCTCGTCGAAACTCGAGGAAAACACGACGACGTCGTCCAAGTACACAAGGCAAGTCTGCCACTTCAATCCTGCCAGTACTGTATCCATAACGCGTTGAAAAGTTGCAGGCGCTGAGCAAAGGCCGAAGGGCATCACCTTAAACTCGAAGAGGCCGTCCGGTGTTATAAACGCCGTCTTCTCTCGGTCTCTTTCGTCGACTTCGATTTGCCAATAGCCAGTCTTGAGGTTCATTGACGAGAAGTACTTGGCGTTATGGAGCCGATCAAGGGCGTCGTCTATTCGTGGGAGAGGATACACGTCCTTTCTTGTGATTTTGTTCAGGCGGCGATAATCGACGCAGAAACGTAGGGTCCCATCCTTTTTCTTCACTAACACCACGGGGGATGCCCACGGACTCTTGGACGGCTGGATAATGTCATCTCGCAGCATTTCATCAACTTGTCTCTTCATTGCCTCACGTTCTCGCGTCGAAACCCTGTACGGACTCTGACGGAGTGGTCTGGCATTTTCTTCGGTTATGATTCGATGTTTCGTGATTGGGGTCTGCCGAATTTTCGATGACGACGAAAAGCAATCTTCGTATTGCAGAAGCAGGGCCTTGAGCTGTTCTTGCTTATCGTTCGGAAGTCTGGGATTGACGTCGAAAGCTATGGGAGGGGCTTGGTTCCTCTGAGCAGGTTCCGCAGAATCGGCGAGGGCGAAAGCACTGGTGGCTTCGACAATTTCTTCGATGTATGGGACCGTTGTTCCTTTGTTCACATGCTTGTACTCATTGCTGCAATTCGTGAGCATAACCGTTGCTTTGCCTCCCCGCAGCTCTGCAATTCCTCTTGCGCCGCAAATATTTCGGGTGACCAACAGATGCTGACTGCCTTCAACGACGCCTTCAAAGTCGGGTGATTTAGGAGCGCCGACTGAAATAATGACGCTTGAGCGAGGCGGAATGGTGACTTGTTCTTCCAGCACATTCAAGGCATGGTGTCCTGACGGCGTGCGCGGCGGTAGTGCTTCTTCTGTCGATAACGTTATCGACCTTGTTTTCAGGTTGATGACAGCACCATGGAGGCATAAGAAGTCCATGCCAAGAATGACATCTCTCGAGCAACGCTGCAGGACTACGAAGTCTGTAGGATAAATACGGCCGTTAATGGCGACTCTCGCTGTGCAGATTCCTGCAGGTGTTACGAGATGACCTCCGGCTGTGCGGATTTCAGGGCCTTTCCAAGCTGTCCTAACTTTCTTTAACTTCGCGGCGAACGACCCACTGATGACGGAATAGTCGGCTCCAGTATCGACGAGAGCAGTCGCACTGTGGCCGTCGATAAGAACGTCGAGGTCGCTGGTTCGCCGTCTCGCATTACAGTTAGGGCGTGGCGTCGGGTCACGGCTGCGTCGGCTTGTTCCGCTGCTTCCATGTTGCGTCGTCCGGCCACCTTCGGTAAGTGAGCTTTTGCCTTCAGGGCTTTTCCTGGTTGGGGTTGTGTTCAAAAAGCTCCGTCGCGTCGGCGTCGTTGTCGGAGGATCTTCGGTAGTTCGTCGCACAGCAACCGCACCTCCATCGGTTGCTGCCCTTAGTTTCCCGGATACGGGCTAGGAGACCGGCCCCGCGTTGGGCCAGAGTACTGCCGGGGGTGCGGTGACATGCGGCGGCTGGGTGACGGCGAACGGGAAGGACTTCGTGGTGTCCATTGAGTTCCTGCCAGGTAGTCGGCGATGTCACGTGGCCGATCTCCTGGCTGCGGACGCGGTGCATTGACGGCGAAGCCACGCAGTCCCGTCTGTCGGTACTGGCAACGGCGGTATGTGTGCCCGGCCTCGCCGCAGTGGTAGCAGAGCGGGCGGTTGTCAGGTGCACGCCAAACGTCCGTTTTTCTCGGTGCACTGCGCTGGCCCGCTGGGGAACGGTAGAACGTCGGTTGGGGTGGTGGCGGCGGTGGCGTCTGGCGACGGAAGTGTCACGGGGCGGCGTTTTGGCGTGGACGGGGAGGAGCGTTGTGGCGCACTGCAGCGGCGTAGCTCATAGTTTCTGGCTCGGGCGGCGGTTTTTCGGGAATTCGAAGCGATTGCCGGACTTCTTCTCGCACAATGTCGGCGATCGAATCCACGTGAGGCTGCGCCGAAGGCAACAGTTTGCGCACCTCTTCCCGCACGATCGCTCGGATCGTTTCACGCAGGTCGTCGGAGTCACTGGCTTGAGCAGCAGTGCATTCTGGAGTCAGGCGACTATTATACTGTCTGGTGCGCATGTCCAGCGTTTTTTCGATGGTGGTCGCCTCGGATACAAATTCTTGGACGGTGTTCGGTGGATTCCTCATTAGTCCCGCGAAGAGCTCCTGTTTGACCCCTCGCATGAGGAAACGAACTTTCTTTTCCTCAGGCATGTCTGGGTCAGCGTGACGGAATAGGCGGGTCATCTCCTCTGTGAAAATTCCAACCTTTTCGTTTGGTAGCTGAACCCGGGTCTCGAGTAGAGCAGCGGCCCTCTCTTTGCGAGCGACGCTTGCGAACGTTTGAAGAAATGCGCCGCAGAAGACATCCCACGTTCGGAGTGTGGACTCCCGATTCTCTAGCCAGGTCCTTGCGGTGTCTTCCAGGTAGAAGTACACACGACGGAGCTTTTCTTCGTTGTCCCAGTGGTTGAGGGCGGCCACGTCGTATGTTTCTAGCCAGGTTTCCGGGTCTTCAAACGATGAGCCATGGAACATTGGTGGTTCCCTGGGTTGATGAATGACGATCGCGGGCTGGGACGCTCCGGTTGTCATTGTCGCTGCAGTCGAGGTCATGGTCTTGGTCTTCCGTGCCTTGTCTTGTAGCAGGCCGTACTTCGATGGGAGACCTTGCTGTCGGCGGCTCGTTCGCTGCTCTTGGTTGGCGTCAGTGTCTTCTCCGTGAAGGGGGCTGGGTTCACGGCTTGACGGGGGCGTCCGGTACATGAACGAAGCAGCACGGGGTCACGCGCATGTCACGGGGTCGTGACGTGGCCAAAGACAGAAAACTTCGTGTTGGGATTTAACTGTTTATTTGGGCGAACCTGTGCCCGGTAAAGGGAAAGTCTAATTACAGCAGCAGTCTTGCACAGATAGCAGTCTCGGACTGATAGCGGCGAACGCAGCGTCGGCCTTCGATCAACAACTGACAAGCGGCGAAGCGCGTCGGCATTTATACTCTTGCCGTCGAATGTTCTAGCGTTATCGCTGGCGGTGGCGTAGGTTCTAGAACAATCTGTACTGTTCGCACAGTGGGCGTGATCTTATCGAAATGATCTACTACAGTCCGGAACCTTCTCGAAACCTGCAGGCGCGGTTTGCGCCGAGAATCGTGTGGTGTTTCGGAATGATAACAAAAACTTGTGAAATGGAACGTGGCAATATTTACTAAACTATTAAACGCACTATTAATGTATGCACCATTACAACTCTAATAAGTTTTTTTTTTTCTTGCCTGACAATTGTGCTCTTTACTTGATGCCATGAGAGTTATCTGCTCAAGTTGGCTGAACTCAGTGCCGCCCTTTGAATTGCCTTTGAAAGTGTGAAAAGTTATCTGATCAGACCATCGAAAGTTTCAACCAAACTGTACGGTCAAACTGTTGACTCCACTGATGGCAGTCTGTTTTGGGATTAAAGCTCTTGATGTTAAAGCAGCTGAAAAGGTGATTGAAAGTGCAGGTTCAAAGGTGAGAAGGGCCGAGACGTATAGCTATTGTATGGCACAAGCTCTCTTGATGTACTATCTGCATTAAATGAAACCCGAACAGCAGCAAGCCTTCGTGATGGTATAGTGAGTGCCTTCCTCTCACCACCATGGACAGGCACGCATATATGCGCATAGCTGCTGAACAGGATGCGTGCGCCTGTCAATCGTGATAACTGGACAAAGCGCACTGTATTATCGCAAAGGCTTATTGCTGTTCGGGTTTAATTTGATGCTGACAGTACTTGCGGTGTTGCAGAGGCTTGTTTTAAGGCTTGGCGGTAGACAGGAGGCAGTGGACACAGCGTTCCAGTTGGTGTTTCCCAATGCCTATTGTATATGCCCAGGTTCTAGGAGGAGTGGTTGCCAAACATAATTTTTTTTTTCTTCGTTGACCACATCACTACTATTGAGACTATCCAGTGGACTTTGCTGCCATCACTTTTTAATAGACAAAGATTGTGCTTGTGTTGTTGAATTCCTTCTTGTAGTGTTGGATATATAAAATAAGCTTTCATTGCAATTATATCATCTCCTTTGAATTGTTACCCCCAACCAAGTGAATATCTAGGGAATCTTTACCTTTTATTATCTCCAGACTGTGAGACCGTTTTCATTCAATTGTAGTTCGTTGCTCGTCCAGTGTTTATAGCGTGGATCATCTGTGTGTGCAAGTTTTGCAAGTGTGCTTTTACTTGCCCACACTAGGTGCCTCGGCTGAACCCCGAATTTGAGGGCTACAGTCGCTTCCGGGCTATTGGCTTGGATCGGGGACGGGACCAATCTCTCCGCTGCATGCAGGCGTCGGTGATGGGAGCAGTTGGGGCCCTGGTGGATCTTCTAGACTGCTGCGATCGCTCGGGTCCTCATGTGACTCGACAGGTTGGTTTCGCATGCCGTACCAACTTTCTGTGCTTTGACTTGGCAAGGTCAATGACTGATTACCTACTCGTTCGTGTAATTGAAAAAAATTCCGGGGTCTTGCGTGCCAAGGCACCTATGCAGATATGCTGTACACAGTGGCGGGGATTGATTATTTCGTCATGGGAGGCACGACCCTCCAAACTGCACTTGTGAAGCCATTTGGTAACCCTTGACCAGTTCCGACGAGTTGCAATAGTCAGTGTGGTCCTGAACGGGGCTTCAACTGCACCAACCAAGCAGCCTGATTATGTTTTTTCTTTGTATTAATGCCGACTACCTGAGGTTCTGATGGGACAGTGTACTTTAACATTTATATAAGCATTAGTCAGCTTTAATTAAACTTGCTGAGTATGTATATTTGTGTGCTGATTTTAAAAGTGTAATTGTTTCTGTTGCTTCACCATCCCACTTCTGACACCATGTCACGTGGTTAGTGCTGAGGGGCATGGACACTTGGAGATCGACATGCGCAGGCTGCTTGCTCAGACGAAAGTGTGCCTGCTCGTTATTGGGCCCAAACGTCTATAGGCACACACATGAGTTACAGTGGCCATCACAGTCTGTTGCCAGCCCAACAAAAGCGCTGAACCGTGGCTACCTACACATTTTCTCGTTCAGTGTTGTTTTTAAAATGTCGAGCACTTTGTATGCATTGTTGGCAGCAATTCTTTTTCCTAAACTGAGAAAACTATTGAGTAAATCAGCATATTAGAGTAATCTAAGAATGACAACTGTATGCAGTAAAACAAGAATGGGTGTTGTAAAGCCATTCGAGCAAATGTTACATCATGTTGAACATTTGCAAAAAAATTGGTGTCAAGCTGGGATTTTGCTCATGAGTGTTCAACATATACCATTTATTCAAATCGGTTCAGAACACCTGTTGTTTTATTGGCTATAGTCCTCGTTCCAAATGGTGTGCTGTTGAAATTGAACTGCTTCAAATACGATTGTTTTCGTGCTTGAATTCTGCACCCCTATTCATCTCTTGGTAAATAGAACATATTTTTTTGGCCCTACAGCTTCCATTTAATGAGTAGTATGTACTGAACATTCATGCCATACAATCTGCAGACAGAAGTGTAGGCCAAGCTCTGCAGTGCCCCCTTTTATTTTTTCTGCAATGAAGTTTCTGTGGTGATAAATGAATGTATCTGAATCTGATATCAACATGTGCCCCTGGCCGGGTGCATCGTGGTGGCGGCCTCGAACTGACTTTGGGGCCCCCATTATACTTAAGTCGAAGCTGAAAGGCATTTGGATAGTGGTAACTGGTAGCTGAGCTGCTGTGGGTGTGTGACTGCAGCGCTGGCCCCACTGCAATGTCATGCGTGTGAAGCGGGCTGTATGCCGTATAAATGGGTCTCTTTACAAAGCCAGGTTGCATGTGATGCTGCAGTAACAGCTTCTCGTTTTGCTAGTACCCAAATGTGGCTGCCGCGGTGGTACCAGCACGTACCATTCTCCCGCATGCATTTGTGGACAGGGTACAGTTTCTTAGTGGAATAGATTTGTTTCAAGTCACAAGGCACGTCGCTTTTCGGGCTGCCTAGCCAAGTCAGTGCCCTAAGATGGTGGTCTCAATGTTTTCAGTGAAACCTACTGTATTTACGCAATTGTAGGTCTACCCATTTTGTCTCAATTTGAAATCGGAAGTTGGTGGTTCGACCTAAATATCTATTTTAGGTTGTAAAGTCTGTCTGAAAGTGATTCCAGTGTGTTTTCGCGAAGCTAACTTTCATGCACAGCTTTTAGGCACTGCCGCGAAGGCACCTTGGCACGCTGGTGGCTTCACGGAATATCAAAAGAAATATTTTTTATGAAATGGGCTGGTGCTCCCCCCTTTTTTTTGTGCAATTTTAGGGTGGTCGACTTACGTTGGAGTACAGTCGTGTAAATACGGCTTTTGTTGCAGACTAATGGGGCCCTTCAACACTTTTTCAAGTAATCATTGAATGACCTCACTGTCGATCTTTCTCGTGAAACAACTGTTAATGTTTTTAGAATCCATCAAGTACGAGCGGTGTTGCTTGGATTTGTTGCATGTTTTCAGTGCTTGCTCTTTTCTTTCATCTGAGCCAGCGCACTTAAAGCTACACAAGGGATTAGAGGGCTGTGTCCGTACATTAGTTCATGCCATGACCTTGAGCTGTTACATTTTTTTTGGGTGTGTGGCTTCCTTTCGGAGTGATCAGAGTATCAGTGTGCTGGTATAATTCTGTATTGTGTTTAACTCTCGCACTATAAGGCAGAGTGCAGGCACATCACAGTGGCCATGGTAACTGGGCATCTCGTAATGCTCAAATTAAACAGTTGCCATCAGCCAAATTGAGATTATGGCATTAATTACTGAGGGAAGAGTGGAACATTTCTAGCTGAAGTCAAAACTCGATTGTGAATTCCATGCCACGTGCTGCACTGTAATGTCTGGCTTCCATATTCACAGGAGCCGCCACTGCCGTTGGGCAGAATTTACTGACCGTGTTCAGAAAATGTTGCAGGGCCTCTTCAATGTGAAGCTCCTTAAGGAAACAGTTTTCTTGGATTGTGTTTTCTCCCTCCTCTCTGCTAGGCTGTTGCTGAGCGGACAGGGGCAGCACTGGCCCACCTGGGCCAGGCATTTGAGTCCCTGTCGGAGGAGCGCCGCAGCTCTGTGCTCAAACGAGTGGCACCTGACCAGCGGCGGCTGCTTGACGGCCTTCGCCCAGCCGGCGTGGGAGAGGCTGAGCTGTCGACAGAGTTTCTGTTTGGACCGAGACTACGCGACCGTGCTGCCAAGAGCTCCGAGATCATCAGTCTAATTCACTTCCTGCGTGCCCGTGGCCGTCGGCTCGAGGAACAGTATCAACGGCAGAACGGCAATGCAGTTCAAGGCCCCAGGCGGGATGCATCGCGACGGCGGCCTCGGACTCACTTTGGCGCCCCCATTAGACGTAAGTCGAAGCTGAAAGGCATCTTCGCTTCGTTGCTTGATAGGAAGTTTTTCCATAACATGCATTAGAGTGATAACTCTTTTAAAAAATATTGATACTCTTCAAGCATATGTTGGCCCCCACTAAAATATTTTTGCCGTCTGTCTTGCTTGTTTTCTTTCTTGGAAACTTTGCATTTGCTGGTTTTCTTTCAAGAATGCAATGTCACTTTTTCGAAGATGCGTGCCAATAGAAAGCTGGTGATGTAATGGTTGCATAGCAGTGAAGAGGCAGTAAAGGCTAACTATGAGTTTAGTTAGATTGCAATACAGGCTTGTTATGCAAAGAACAGATTTGTAAGCAAGGAAGGAACGAAATTGAGGAGTGGTGCTCAGTGTCATGCTGCCTGGGTATCTCAATAAATGATGTCAGATCCTCTGTTCTAATTACTCGATTGCTGCTTGGGCTCACAGATAGAAAGTGGGTGATGTACATAAAGTTTCGCTAAAAATTTGTGTGCCTTATGCCGCAGTTTTTGCTGTATATTACGATTCTGGTTCCTACAGATTCATAAAATCGGCAGCCAAGGTGGCGATGTTGAGTCTACAATTTAGCACGATGTGTTCAAATTGAGCAGTGGCACCAGGAACGTTTAGTGTTGGTTTTCAAAGCAAGAATAATGTTTGTCATCATGCAGAAAGCAGTTATACTATGCTGAAACAGGGCTAACACTGGTAAAAAAAAGTCGATCTGACCATTTTCTTTTTGTGTACCGGGTGACAATCTTTCTTGGTGTTGTGTAGTATAAACACTGATTATGAGAACAGAAGACGTACTCATGAAAACGTGTGTGTGTGTGTATGCATGTGTATGTGTGTGTGCCTTCCAATGTTCCATGTAGTTGGCATTGTATATTGTAAACTAAGCTTTGTGTCTAAACAATATCCTTTCATCTTGCCAGTGTCATGGCCGGCTCACACTTGTCCGTCTAGTAAACCTTTGCAGCAATTGAAATGACGCTGAATAGCCAGCTATACTTGGCGACAACTTTTCTTGACAGCACTGTGAAAGCTGCAGAATCAATGTGCATGCCTGCTACAACGCCAAAAAGGATAGTGCTTAAGTTAACTGACAATTTCTCATTTGCCTTGCTATAGTAAATGCTGCCTTATTTATTAAGAGACACTAGGTGGCGTGCAGAAGTAGATGAGATACAGTTATTATGCACTTTGTATAAATGCCTTGATTTCTTTCTATTTTTTAGCCAGCACCACCTTTTCAGCACACTCGCTTTCCAAAATGAACGTGGCATCCGTGACTTGAGGGTTATTGTGCCGAAGCAAACGCACTGTTTAGTTCTACAGTAAAAACATGCTTGTCATATGACACTAACATGTACACTGACCCATCGGAATGTTTCTCCCATACACATGTTTTATGTGTATAGTTTTCTGAACGTGTTAAAAGACTTGAGCAAGTGAAACCAAAATCGGCTGCAAGCTTCCGTCCTACCTTTGGAACGACACGAATGTGCGGCAGCCCCGCCTCCGTAGCCTTCGCTCTAATCTCAAGATAAGTTGTTGCCGAGTATAGCTGCAGCAAGCATACTTTGTATAATCTCTTTGCGTAACGTTGATTCCCATAGTATATAAGGGATCTGCGTAGCATAGTGTGTTCATGGTGTATGCTGCCCACGTGATATTGTTCTGCAGCTGTATATGTGGCCTGCGTGGTTGCCTTGCACTCGGCAAGGTGCTAGTCTGCCACAATGGATCACTGGTACCTGTGCTCGGCGGCTGACCTGAAGGTTGCAGATTCAATCCCAGTCACAGCGGTCGCATGTCAATGGGGGTGAAGTGATAGATGCCCGTGTACTGTGCAATGTCAGTGCATGTTAAAGAACACCAGATGGGTGAAGTTTACAGAGCCATTCGCTACAGTGCCCCTCTTGGTTTGGGCATTTAAAACTCTAGGCATATTATTATCAACATGGTAGGTGTGAGATGGCATGTCAGTAGTGGTGTCTGCCAGAGATTCCATGAAGCAAGTACATAGTTTTCGAAACCGCCAGCTGATGGCGAATGACACTGCTTGAGGGTGCAGTTGCATAACTGTCAGTTTTTTTGGCAGGAGAAGGTTAGGCTCTGCTGTTTTAATGGTTTTGTGCTGATAAAGAAGCTGGTTTTCGGCACGTATTGTTTTTGTGACTCCACTATGTTTAGCAAGGTTTTGCAAACGTTGCTCTTTGCATTTTGTTTTAATGCAGGACGAAGGACGTAATTACCTGCTCGGTAGCCCTGGCCATCGGGCTCATCAGGACTTCAACTGTGTATGACAATAAAATGTATTAACTATTTGTACAAGGCGCCTGTCTCTAGTGCACACCCTCCTGCCCAGAAAGCACACTCATTGATTAGTCAAGAATGCAGGAAAGTGCTGAAGAAGAAAAGGTTAATGCACCTCCAGTTTTACGTGTACCACTAGCATGAAGAGAAAAGCTGTGACACGTGTGGGGGATCAGAAACCTTGCACTGTCTTAATGAACGGATACAGCAGAAGTGGTCAAGCAAACCAAGTGCATGTTCATTTATTCACTTGCTTTTATGGCGATATCTCCAGCCGAATGAAGTATATCACTAGTGACACACTAAACAATATTATACAATACAATTTATATGCAACACACAAACAATGTAATAACAAGTTACCACGAATGTGGTGTTGCCAATGGTTGACTTGCCATGCCATGAGACATCCACGGGAAACGACCTGCAGCGTTACGCCATGAAAACGCTGCAAGAGACTACTGTCAACACAAGCTGCCATTCCTGAAAGAGCATCTCTGCTCTTTCGTGTGCACCGGCATAGCTTTTCCGCAGCAGTTGCATGACTATGCTGCTGGCGCCACCGCTAACTGTAACATATGTGAAACACAGGACCACCTCCTGCTCGTTGACTGTTGAACCTAAATGCGGCTTATCCGTGAGACGTGCGTGCCACGAGGCACAAACGACTTTACAGGAAGTGATTGCACCTCCACACACTGCACTTGGAAATGACTTTCTACTCAAATAAGTTTAAATGCTGTAATTTGAAAGATTACTGCAGTGGCTGTGTGCAAAGTAGTACACCTTCAGTAACTCCTTGCACCCTTTAATGGATGCTTGCTTGTCACAGCCAAGATGGGCCAATTCATCTGTAATAACCTTGCAGACATCAGTTTCACATGGTGTGAAGGGAAATCTCGTAACAGGGTTATGAGCTTTAATTCTGAGAAAAGCAGAGGCCGAGGTGTCAGTATAAACAAAGGAGGTGGAAATTACTGCAGATAATGTTCGACGCTGTATGCATATTGCATGGATGCATTCTTGCAGCTGTGGCTCACTGCTTGCTTTCAGGGTCTTCCAGGCTCGAGTGACGTAAAGTGATAGGTTCGCTCTGCTTCTGTGGCCAGACTCATTCTCCTGCAAGACGTGTGTCACACCGATGGTATAGAAAGTATGTGCGTCATTTTAGCCTGATGTGCTGGAAATGTTGCTGTGTGAGCATTGTGAAAGTAGATTTACGTGTAATCAAATCGGTGTAGTGAAGCTTAGCTGGTTCATTGCTTTCTACTTCACTGGTTGTAAATTACACTGCTGGCACATTGGAACGGGTTGAGGCCTTGCAAATGGCTCTGAACTCCACTGCCAGTTTCAGAGGGTGCTGAGCCTTTTGCATGCACCGGTGAAGTTTTGAGAGATTTTTCTTATAATCGGAAAATATGTGTGTTATTTACTGAACCTGGGTTTGTCTGCTTGAAGGAGCTATAGCACAACGATGTGCATGAATGTAGCGAAACTTTTGGCCATGGACAATCTTGTCGATGAGAACAGCTGCCTGCTCTTTGTTTTGGCCAACAGAATTTGGCTATCCGTTTGCGTATGCAAGCACTGGAAACTTTGCAGGGAACCTGCGTGATGCAGGCTGCTAGCATTCATACTTATACACTAGTCATTTCTGTCTCCCAATATTCAACAACATTTAGCCGATATTTAACAATGTGATACTTCAGAAGGGCCATTATTACGCACATTGAACTCCAGCTTTTAAGTGCGTAATACTTTAGTGGCCCAGCTTGTTCATCCTTTGTCACACACTCATGCAATATCAATACAGGCCTAAAACACCTGACAATGCTCAAAACCAGTGCCAGTGACTGAAGTGCTGCTCCAATTGCTCAAAAAGAGAAACGCTGCTCTAAACACAAATGTGTTAGTTGACGCTCTGGACCTGCTCTGAAATGGCACTGAGACACTGAAAACAAAACTTTGACCATGTGATCATCCAGCAAGCCAAAACAAAACCAAGAACAACCTGTATACTATCATCATAGCATGCCACTTGTATATAGTCAATATATATTTCCACAATATTTTGTATCTGACAAGCAAACCAGTTTGGTGAATTATGTGTGAGATTAGTTCAATATCATACTGATTAATAGCTGCTGCTACTACTAATGCAAATTATGATTTACATCTATTGCTTTATCAGCTAGCTATGACCTCATTTATGCCAAAAGAACCAACGTTTTAAGTTTTTAGCTAGCTCATTTAGTTGACTTTTTTATATTTTCAATGCAGGTTATTTTGGTGATGTGTCAAAATAAAAGATTGCTTTCATCTCGTACATTTCATAAACTGCTTCTTTGGTGACTATTCTATGTGACTGCGATTACTTTTAGAATTTGATGCACAGCTTTATCACTTTTATAAAATTTATATCACTAGTACTTTGAAATATATAGCTCATTTTACTTTGAGTTCAATGGCCATCCATCTGCTTATGTTTTTTGCAATTAGTAAGATTTATTGTAAGTGCAATATATTTAATAATAAATACTAATATCGATAAAATGTTCAAATAATGCTTTCAACTCCAAGAGTTGCATGGAATAGTTTGCCATCTACTCCAAAAACTTCAATTGCTGCTGCATCTTTTTCTGCTCCAAAAAAGTTATGGCTGCTCCAAAGCAGCAAAATGTCAACGTAATCGCTTCAAAGTTCAAAATATAAATTACAGAAAAAATGAATCAAACGTAATAATTTAACAAAAAAATTGTGAAAATGCTTCTGAATTAGGATATGACTTACGCGCGCCGCGCAAGAGAGGGCGGCACCGCCTCGGCAAGCGTGTGATTGTCAAGAGAATCGCTTGGTTTCCCGCGCAATGCACTTCCTTTTAGATTTCACTGTAGCGGAGCTGCATTAAGCGCATGATTTGGAACTGCACCAAGGTCCACACAAGAACGACAGTAGCGCGGGATCTCGCACAGGTTTTATAACTACACTTGCTCACAAACGAAGAAATTTCGCGTTAGATTGGAAACAACATCAAGAACTACGTTCTCTACCTTCACCGCAGGGTTAACGTGGTCTCGAGTCGGGCAGCGGGTCTTTCCTGACGAGTTTGGGAGGGTTTTCCGTACCGGCATGTAACCTCGGTGTCGCAAGGGGCCAGGTTCGAAAGCGCGTACTCGTCCCGCGCTCGAAAGCATGGGCATGTGCAGTGCGTTCACGAATTCTCCAATGCAGTTCGAGCTTGTCACGGCCTCTCCGCGGTAAGAACGATGGCAGACAACATATGCGGTGGCACGAAAACGCTGTGATAACGGTACTTTCGCGGTCACCTTGGTAACCGGTGCGGCAGCCATGTATATGTCTCTCAATCGCCCGCTGCAATCAAAACCGTAACTAACTGCTACTACAAAATGACCCGATCGCATGCTAAATCCGACACAGTTTTCTTTTTTCGACAGTAAACGTCCTTTGTTTTGCATATAAAAGGTAGGACGCAGATATATATGCTGCCGATTATATGCCGCCCGCCCGATTTCAGTAGCTGGTTACTTTGAAGCCTTTACGCAGCGGGGCCCCAAGAAGGAATTGTTAGGAAGCGTAAGAATAAAGGCAGCGATATTCTCACCAGCACAATTTTGTGTAAAGCGATCATTTGATCCTAGACGCCTATTTGCTGTTGTTGTTCGGCCGAGATGACTCATAGTATGGGTGGAGGTGGGTCTATCTTGTGACGTCACAGTCTCTAGCCAGCGTCCAGTAGTTCGCGCATTTTTTTCCTCCCCCCCTTTCGGGTTGTGCGTGCGTGTGTGTGTGTGCGTGTGGCGATCGGTCGCGGTGGTGGTGGTAGTGAAAAATGTTGTGGGAGACGGCGACGAATGGGCCTGGATCTTGAAAAAAAGGCGTGGACAAGCGAGCATGAAGGTGAGTTTCCTGGACACATTGTTCAACAGCGTCTCTCGTAGCGGAGATCGCGGAAAGGCGGTCGGCTCCGCCACTGGTTCGCAAGGCGGTTGCTTCCGTCTCACAGCACCCGCATAGTAAAACCGTGCAGACAGAGTAGTACTTCCGACGTCCGATTCGCTCGGTGGGTTTGCGCATCCGACGTCTTATCGAATGTATCGAATCAGGGTTTATTGTGGCTTTAAGCGCGACGCGAGCAGCTTCGCTACTACGATGCCTACGATCCATGTGCGGCCTCTGTCTGTGGCGGTTGATTGACGGGTGAAGCTAGGCGGATCGCGATCCCCCACGTAGATCCCGAAACTCCCAGCGCGAGTGGATTCTGCGCGTGCTTGAATATTTAGCGCAGCTCTCTTCTGAAAAGCAGCGCGAGAGAGCTAGCGCGTGCGGCAGAGGAGAAACCGTGCCGCGCTTGTGTGTGTGTCCGTGTCGTCGTATCCCCGCGGTTCCGTTATTCCAGCGGGCAGCGATGTCTGGGACAGGCGTTGTCGTATCATGTAACCTTTATCGAGTGATTCGCCCGGCTCGAGTGACTCCCGCCTGTGCGAGTGAGTGGTCGACTTTCGGCCAGGTGTGCTTCTCCTTCACTCTGTTGTGGCGTCGATTTTTCTCAAAGCGAGCGCCGCCGTTGCCGCTGGCTTTCTGCACGGGTTCCGTACGCATGTGAGTCTGCGATTGATGCCCCAACTGCGAAGCCTGCAAAAGCGAAAGGCCCTGTCCAGTAACGACACGCTGTTCTGGCGGATCGTATGAAATGCCCATTTTCTTTGTGCTTTTGTTGACTGATCAAGTTTACGTTGCTTGTCGACAGGCGTGCCACTCAATCTGCGTTGCCGATCCGAATCGGCTTCCTTCGCAGTTTCACAAAAGTTCAGCGAAACAGAAGTATTTGGTCTTTACGACCAGGGTTAAGTGGCTTTCGTGGGACCGCATATCCTAGCTGACTCGCAGCTATAATCTAATCGGTCGAAAGTTTGCGCACAGCCGTGCGCCTATCTGCTGACAACGGCTAAGCTTTCGGACCAAGCAATATACAGTCTTGAACAGCCGCTACGGACATTCTTAGGTGAGCCGCAGAAGGTTACTATTTGCATATTACGTGCTGTTTACATCACCTACTTAATCCGCTGTACGGGTTTCAACGGGTAACGCACGTTTTGATTAGCTATGTTGTTCGTCATGTACTGTAAAGTGGGAAATGCAGATGGTTTTCTTGCAAGCAAAAGGCTGTAACAGTTTCTTGTAATTTGTTATTGTATTTCATGCTTTTACTCAAGATCAGCGATTAGGGCAAGTGTGCTGAGTAGGAGCCTGTTTATAAACAATTTTGTTGCGAGTAACAATTAATGCCAGTAATGTCCGCACAGCTCCTATGTTCACAGCAGTGAGTGTTTTTTAGCTTGAACTTGGCTGCATATTTCATTTCCCAAAGAGAGCTCAACCCGTGTGCTTAATTGTGCTATAAATACCGCCTACCTAATAAGTTGAGGGGTTATTAACCTTTGGCAGCTGCACATTGTGAGAGGTGTACATTACGAATTTTATTTGCGATGACTTGATGAGGGCATATTGCAGGAAAAAATGAACATCCTTAAAGCCTAACTCACTATAATTTAGTGACACTGTTATTATTTAAGCTTAATGTCTTTACTACGTTGCAAGATCTTAGTGAATAATACAGCCTGCATCAAAGCATAGCTGCCTGGGGCTACATAGCTTTGCTTGACCTATGATCTCGTATGTCGAAAAATTGAAGTAAGTGTTTGCTAGCATTTACTCGGCAAGCCACTCAATGCACACTAAAAGCGGTATCCCCGAAAGGGATCATATCAAAATACGAGCTGTGGTGTTACAAAGCTGCATGTATTAGCTTTTTTGTGAAGCAAAAGAAAAAAAAGCACATGCAAAAAAAAAATCGAATGTGAAAACGCTGCAAAAATGAAAGAGTTCCTTCTTGTTCTGTTAATTGTCCTGTCATTATTGACATTACTTCTTTCTTTTATGAACTCGTGGTTTGTAAATGCAGTAAGTGAATAGTTGCTGCATTTTCCAAGTTGAGTTTGGCAAAGTGTATCAAGCTTTGCACTTTTCTAGAACACAGAAACGAGGAATGATTGCGTAGCAAAGTGCAAGTGTGCTGCCACGCCTTAGTTGACTGTCTAGCAGAATGGGACTGATAACACGATGAATTGTCTTCAAGGGTGCTGATACGGCGTGGCAGGTGTGTCCAAGCGATATTTTATTTGCTCTGTGCTAATTGTGCAAACAACTACTGACGATGTCATTATCAGTCAGGATTCATGAGTTCTGAAACATGGGTGATGAAAAATGAATGGAATGATGTAAAATTGATCCTTACATTATTTTTTATTAATGTGTTTGAAATCAATAAGGAACTGCTTATTTGCTCTTAATGCTCCATTTTTGTATATATATATATATATATATATATATATATATATATATATATATATATATATATATATATATATATATATATATATATATATATATATATAAATAAGGGAAAGAAGTGTATACCTAAGGGCTCATTTTTCCGTGTTTTTAACACAATAATAATGAGATATAACAGACAGTAATGCCAAGGAATGTACAGGGGAAGTTATTAACATTAATGGAATGTAAATAAGAAGAAAGAAAGTGGATGAAAAATTTTACCAACTGTAAGCAGGAATCGAACCTACGACCTTCGAATTACGCGTTCGATGCTCTAACCACTGAGCTATTACAGCGGCCCTCCCTCCATCCACTTTTTTGGGTTTATCTGTGAATTTAGAAGTAGGAGCGACAGTCAGCGCCATCTATAAGCCAAACAACGAGTGTGAAAACACTCTTATGCGCATGTTTGGCGTCACGTAGCACGTGAACTTATTATGAGCGGGCAGCTGATTAATTGTCCCTCTTATACAACCTAAACACACCAAGTCTGCCAGTACGAGACCCTCGTTCAATGAATAAGGAAAGAAGTGTCTACCTAAGGGCTCGTTTTTCCGTGTTTTAACACAATAATAATGAGATATAACAGACAGTAATGCCAAGGAATGTACAGGGGAAGTTATTAACATTAATGGAATGTAAATAAGAAGAAAGAAAAGTGGATGAAAAATTACCAACTGTAAGCAGGAATCGAACCTACGACCTTCGAATTACGCGTGGAAAGAAGTGTATCCTAAGGGCTCGTTTTCCGTGTTTTAACACAATAATAATGAGATATAACAGACAGTAATGCCAAGGAATGTACAGGGAAGTTATTAACATTAATGGAATGTAAATAAGAAGAAAGAAAAGTGGATGAAAAAATTACCAACTGTAAGCAGGAATCGAACCTACGACCTTCGAATTACGCGTTCGATGCTCTAACCACTGAGCTATACAGCGGCCCTCCCTCCATCCACTTTTTTGGGTTTATCTGTGAATTTAGAAGTAGGAGCGACAGTCAGCGCCATCTATAAGCCAAACAACGAGTGTGAAAACACTCTTATGCGCATGTTTGGCGTCACGTAGCACGTGAACTTATTATGAGCGGGCAGCTGATTAATTGTCCCTCTTATACAACCTAAACACACCAAGTCTGCCAGTACGAGACCCTCGTTCAATGAAATAAGGGAAAGAAGTGTATACCTAAGGGCTCGTTTTTCCGTGTTTTTAACACAATAATAATGAGATATAACAGACAGTAATGCCAAGGAATGTACAGGGGAAGTTATTAACATTAATGGAATGTAAATAAGAAGAAAGAAAAGTGGATGAAAAAATTACCAACTGTAAGCAGGAATCGAACCTACAACCTTCGAATTACGCGTTCGATGCTCTAACCACTGAGCTATTACAGCGGCCCTCCCTCCATCCACTTTTTTGGGTTTATCTGTGAATTTAGAAGTAGGAGCGACAGTCAGCGCCATCTATAAGCCAAACAACGAGTGTGAAAACACTCTTATGCGCATGTTTGGCGTCACGTAGCACGTGAACTTATTATGAGCGGGCAGCTGAATAATTGTCCCTCTTATACAACCTAAACACACCAAGTCTGCCAGTACGAGACCCTCGTTCAATGAAATAAGGGAAAGAAGTGTATACCTAAGGGCTCGTTTTTCCGTGTTTTTAACACAATAATAATGAGATATAACAGACAGTAATGCCAAGGAATGTACAGGGGAAGTTATTAACATTAATGGAATGTAAATAAGAAGAAAGAAAAGTGGATGAAAAAATTACCAACTGTAAGCAGGAATCGAACCTACGACCTTCGAATTACGCGTTCGATGCTCTAACCACTGAGCTATTACAGCGGCCCTCCCTCCATCCACTTTTTTGGGTTTATCTGTGAATTTAGAAGTAGGAGCGACAGTCAGCTATATATATATATATATATATATATATATATATATATATATATATATATATATATATATATATATATATATATATATATGTAAGGGAAAGAAGTGTATACCTAAGGGCTCGTTTTTCCGTGTTTTAACATAATATTAATGAGATCTAACAGACAGTAATGAAAGGAATGTACAGGGGAAGTTATTAGAACCAATGGAATGTAAATAAGAAGAAAGAAAAGTGGATGAAAAGTGGATATATATATATGTGTGTGTGTGTGTAGTATATATAAAGGAGTGGAAATTCTTAGACACAATAATCGTGAGAACAAACGGACAATGGCACCAAGGTATAGAGAATTTTATCAGAGCTAATTCTAATGTAAATGTAAAGAAAAGAAAATGAAAAGCCAACTCACTGCTGGCCAGGACCAAACCTGTGGCATTAGAATAACGTCGTGTCCGATGCTGTACCGACTGAACTAAAGCGGTGGTCATCCTCCCGTCCACTTCAGGGGGTATATATGTGGATTTTACAAGTGGCAGTGTTGGTCAGCACTGCCAGTAGCCGGGACGGTGAGTGTGGAACGCTTTTGTTCTGCCTGCTTGCATCACATAGCATGTGATTTTACGAAGTGGCAGCTGACCGATGATTTCTCGCATACTTCCCGTGAGCATCAAGTCTGTCAGAACGAGACACTTGCTATTTATGAAGAAAATAAGCAGGAATTCAAGGGAACATTTTAATTTGTTAGGTACAATATTAAAAACTGATAGACCTTCACTGAATGTACGAGGGTCTTGCTCTGGCAGATTTGATGTGTTTTTCTACCTCACTTACCAAATTTGCTCTCTGCAGCTTATTATTGTCAACAACTAGCCCAGCAACAAATTCTCTTGTTATATTGCACAGCTTAGTGACAGAAACTTGTTAATGTTGAGAGTATTAGAATGTGACCATTGGTTTATGTTAGTGGCCGTAAAGGCTGTTTGTTATTTGAATAAATATTTAAACATACATTCCATTCAGTCTCAATGAATACTGTTCTTATACCACCATAGCTGTTGCTTCAAGAGAGATGGTTATGGTGTCTGTGTGGTCAGTGTAGTTTATTCGAGGTGTCCCTGTCATATTAATCATTAGAATTGCAATATTCGACACTCTGCTTTGTTACTCAGGTGCTGTCCCATGGTAACATTAGCTCTAAATTTCCTCCTGGATTCAAGGTATCATCTCTTTATTGCACCCACAGCTGGGCTTTTCGACACGCTGTACTCCATTTTATACATAAGGTGCAATGTTGTGGAAGCTATGCAAGACGTTCAGCCAGCAAAACGTAACTTTGTGCGTCTCGTGGTCGCTCGCATGACATCTGATTAGCGCCGGTGTACCCTCACGTTTCTTTGTCTTCCCCCTTGGCACGAATGACGAACAGAGGAAAATGAGGAGAGCACGAAAAAATGCAAAGACCGAACGACCATGTGGTGTCAAGGTGTCATGAGATAGGAAGTCTAGGTGGCTGCCATCGTGATGTACCCAGAGCAGAGAGCCTGTATGTGACGTTGCATGGAAAATAAGCTATCCAGCTGCATAACAATAGATGCTTAATGGCATTATTCTTCAAAGGGCACAAAATATCTCCAGCAACTTCTCGTCGTTATAACAATAAGAAAATTTTGTTATTCTGGTAAGAATTACATTGAACTATTTTTTGTTTTGAACGCATCAACTGCAAGAAGTTTCACTAGCCTCCAAATGTTGCAGATGATGCATGAAACAGAGTATAGTTTACAAGCAAGCAAGCAGATCATTGGCACTTTCATGATGCACCAGTCCAGCACAAAAATTAAAGCAAAATTATTGAAATAAGTGTAATAATTTAAAAACAAGTTGTTCTGTTAAGACCCAAACTGATTCAGTTTGATTGCTGGCATTCAAAGGGGGCCACAGATGACTAAAATAGCGTCCAAAGTTTATAGGCCATCTGCGTGTGTGCCACACAGGAATAAGAGAGAGAAACACTGCCAAGATGATTAGCTGATGGTCCCATTTCATTGTAAGTGTCAGTAAAAAGCAGCAAACAAGTGTGAAGACTGTGTAGCCTGCTTTCGCCAGGCTGACTGTAGTCCCTTGAAATAATCCTCACCAGGTTTGGTCATGGCACATTAACAAACGTCAGGCTTGACTCACTCAGTGGTGGTGTCTGCGTGTTCTGAAGTTCCTGTGCGGCGTAAAAATGTTGCGATTTAAAACAACGTGGCGTGCTCTCCTTATTGTGAGAATTGCACTTGGAGAGAGAGACAGTAAAACGTAATGTGCGCATCCTAATGTCCGTTGCATTTGTTGAAATGCGCTCAATCATGAAGTTCCAGTGGCCGTGGCACACAACTTCGGTCCTTCATCCTGTGTGTGGTGTGCAGTGTTGCCACAACAAGTTCAACGTAAAGTAAAATCGAAAGAGAAAAAAGGAAGGCGGGGCTCCTGATGTCAACTAAAAAGAGTGCCCTTCAGCTTCAGCATTTGGAAGAGTGCAGTGCTTGTAAAAGCAACTCAAAACTAAGGGAGGAGGGTAATTGTTCTTGCAGTGAATCTCGCCTTATTGAGGCACAGCAATGGACAATTCAGCTTCGTCTAACGTGGACAATAATAATCCGTTGTGAAAATATATTGCAGCGAAATGCTTCCCAGATGACACTTTAAAACTTCCAGTTGTGCTCCCTAGCCAGAGGCCTGGTGTGTTCTTCATAATAAGAACACTAGGACACTGAGTAAAGTAAGTGGTGAATGTGCAGAGTAGTTGGTATGTTCTTGACAATGTCTGTACTTGAGCATCCCTCTTTGAATCTCTTTGGGGGTGGTGACAGGTGTCCCCTCATCTGGAAAAAGAAATCTGTACCTTCTTCACGTCCTAAAATTCTGTCTCTTGTAGGCCTTCATCAAACCTCTGCTTACACTTATCATGTATTGCTGAGGATAAAACTCTTGTGCTCAATCGAATTGAATGGTTGCATGCCATTAGGTGGTAGCAGTCCACTAATACTAATGTGCAGTTCACATTCCCCACAGAAACGGCTGGTGGCCTGACCCTGCCTCCCTCTCAGGGTCGGTAGCAGTGGTGGAAGATGGCTGACAACATGGATGACAAACCACCGGCACCCCCTGTTCGGCTTACCAGTGCCAGGTGAGGCCACATGCGTCATCTTTTAAGTAGGATGTTGTTTGCAGCACTTCATAGCATCCTTGAATATTGTTATGTGCCACTGACCGGAGGAGGACTGGTTATCTCTTGTTTAAGCCATCTTGGCCGTTGTTGCCTCAGTCGCTTTATTGTGTAAATAATGTAAATACATCTGTCTAATATGACAACAATATCACAGAATTACGCTATCAGAAGCACCATTGCATTTTGTTTGCAGCTATCATTCAAAGAAACTCCATGCACTTTGTTTGCATGCACTTCTGTGCTGCCAGGTGACTGTTCTAGCTAGATTTAATTGCTTTCTTGAGCTATAATTGGCACAGAGCTTTTTACTCAAATTGTGAAATGCAGCTCTGGTGCTCTGGTATTAAAGCTGCTGCTCTAATGAATAATTCTGTTCAATATAGGTGCCTGTCACACCGGATACTCCTGTTCAGTTAATTTTGATGCTTCTAAAACTTTTCTGAAATTACAAGCAACCACTTTTTTCATGTGAATAAAAGCACCCTCATTTGTCTGTGTGGAAATATGTCTCTGGACAAAAGTGTTGCTTTTCTCAAGCAATGTTTTATTGAAAATGGTTCAACATGATTTAATTACAAAGAAAAGCTGCAGTGTTGTGTAAAGCCAAAAGAATGTAATTTAGTTAACGAATGCATGAATTACTCAGCATTCCTGTGCTGGCTGAACCAGTATAGTTGCAGTTTCCATAGAGACTGGTGCCACATTTTTCGTCCGACAATTTTCGTCATGCCTGTTTGTATATTTTGAAACATAGTCGTTCTCAGCCTAATGAAATTCGTTTTCTTTTATATCTTATTCTGTTACATACATACATACATACATACATACATACATACATACATACATACATACATACATACATACATACATACATGCATGCATACATATTGCTATGAGCGAAATAACACAGACAGCCAGGAGTTGATGTCTTGCCTGAAACCAGACCAGAAAGCAACATTCTCTTCTTCCTCCACTTCCAAGCAAGTTCACGCCACAGTGGATGGCTCATACCCATTTACCTGTGACATTATTTGTTCTCCTCCAAAAGCATCGTCTTGATGCTGGTGATGAGCGTTGAAAAAAAAATTAGAAAGAAAAGATGCTACTGCAGAATCTAACAACTGCATCGTAAGGCAAAATGAAAGGGCTGCTCTCACAGAAGTACTCAATAAAGAAAGGAGCTAGCACACAAGACACGTCAAAAAGGAAGAAAAGTGACAAAAAAAAAAAGAAAATAAGTACCTAGTCATTGCTTCAAAAGTCACTCCGTGTTCAGTTGACGGCACGAGATATATGGCTTGAGCCTTGAAACATGCACCACAGCACTTTGTGAAAGCCAATGGGAACGTCTTGAGGTGCCCTCTGGGAGAACTTCGTATGTTACGCCGCTGAGTCAGCTTAGAACTTAGTACGGACCGAAGTAGTGCCACAGCTTGCGAGCTTCATTTCATACCTTGATGCTGGCAACTCGATCAAAGTGGTCAAGCCAGTCATCAACATCTTTATAAATGTCTCCATGAAATGAGCGTGGTGTTTGCGGCGCTTGAAAAACGTGCGGGAGAAAAGAATAGGCGTTGCTGGTTTGACTCGCCTGGTTGTTAGTCGAGGTTGCCATCTCATCTTCAGATAAGAGACCAAAGTTGGGGGATAGTCCTCGCAGGCGGCGGCTGCTTCTTGCCGTGGGAGCTGTAGCTGTCTCCAAGTAGCTCGGTGTGACGGCTGAAAATCGGGAGCCGAGGTCCACTCGTGGCACTGGTGGAGGTGCATATACTCAGCACCTCCACCAGTGCCACGAGTGAAATAACACAGACAGCCACGAAGTGATGTCTTGCCTGGAACCAGACCAGGAAGCAAGGTTCTCTTCTTCCACTTCCAAGCGAGTTCACGCCACAGTGGATGGCTCATACCCATTTACCTGTTACAATACATCCGCAAATACACACACACACACACACACACACACACACACACACACACACACACACACACACACACACACACACACACACACACACACACACACACACACACACACACACACATATGTGACCTGTTCAACTAGGCTTCTTTTTTTTTATCATAACTAAGTTATCATGTACTTGTGTTTGATGTGCCCTTTAAGCAAAGGATGTGAAAGTTCGAAGCACAAAGCTTGGCTTCTGGCCCATGGGTGAGAAGGCACTTTTGTTACTTGTTCTGGTGAGCAGTTTGTGAAGTTTATTAGCTGAATATGAGTATGTGGGGAATCCCCTGCTATACATGTACTCCCAACTTGTAGCAAAATCTGCAATGTCAGTGCCACTGTTTTATAGTCACAAAAGCTATTTGTAGTTCTTTGTAAAGCTTTCAACATAACTGTGTTTGTCACTTTTATGGCTATTAGCAAGTTAACTACTTGCCTAATGGGTACCACAGGCTGATGGATATCACAACATAAAAATTACCACAACCTTATGATTGCATGGTGGACATGTTGTTCAGTTCGTAGTAACTACCCATTCCTGAAGCATGACTAAGTTCAGTTTCTTGGCAGTGTATAAATCCCACGAGATGCATTTAAAGATCGCCCACTGGCATAAAAGTGCCTCGTTTCGTATAGCTCCATAGATTTATTGTGTAAGTTGTCTACAGTTTACTGTATATGCATTCTACATTTCATAGTTTGGTTGGCACAGCTTCCTTCTGCTGTGAACATTTTGTCACATAGTCTCAAACATGTTAGGTTCTTTGATCTACTGCTCCAACAACAGTGATGATTCAGAGGACTAAATATGCTGAATAACCCAGTGCTTCCAGTTAGTGTGAACTAGCTTGCATGCTGGGACATTTCTGTGCATGTATGTGTCCTAGTTTCTAAATCTTGTTTATAAAAGCCTTGTTTCTAAATCAGCGTTGTGTATGTATGACTCGCGTCGCCTGTCTTGTCAAGGCAGCCTTGTCTGGCTGCGAGCATACACACTGGCAAGTCATTCCCTCAAGGGGGCAGGTGTGTTTCTGATAAGTAGACATGCTATTTTTTGTTCGAGCTTGAGAATTCTCCACACATTTCTTGTAATTTTTTGTGTTCACTTCCATTAAAAGGTTGTCCATCACATTCTTCTCTAGCAAGTCAGTGTTGTGAGGCAACTCTGTAACTGGTTAGCAGACCGAAGTCGATTCTATCCCTTGAGCACTTCCTCGTTTGACAGTCGCGCTGCACATTTGACGTCACTGAAACGTTTGACTTCATTTTCACTGACAAGCTGCAAATGGTTCACGTGTGTGTTTTTCCCATTGCAGCACGGTGCGAGGCGCTAGCGTGACACCCGTTCGGGACTCCTCCTCGGTGCCAGTAGACATGAGGCCGCTACCCAAGGAGCCTGAACTTGAGAAGAAGGGCAAGCTGAAGCCTTCCAAGGGTGCGTTACCCGACTCGCCTCTCCTCAGGCTGACTGCACGTGCAACACACGCCTAGACGAGAATGACCAATGTTCACGGATAAAGTGGTTCATGCAAGTCTGTATAGTTGTCATGACACCCGTTTAATTAAAACCTGGACATTTGTATTCTATGATGCCTTGCATCTCGGCCTTGTAATGTGTCGGTTTTCATTCAGTCTAGCCGTTGCTAACCAATTTTCAGCTGTTGTTCCATTTAATTTAGTTATTGGAGGTTTTCTTTGTAAGTTTAATGCCTTAAAACCCGCATAGCTTCAGAGGTACAGCATTCCATACTCATTTTAAGTCTTGCAGAAGCTGTGAAGCAGCAGCTGTGGTAATTCACAGTACGTTTTTTTCTAACTTGGTGCTTTGTTTTCAGAACTTTTTCCATGAAGGCATCGCATGCTCACGTGTCTCCCTTTGCATAGAATCTTAGAGGCTTTGTGGCAGCTTAGAACTTGTCAGTCTTGATGGAGGAATGTCTGTGATGTATATTGTCTTACCGATGTCAGTACGTAACTGTGAACGAAAGCCTAATGTAACCTTGGTTTGAAAAAGAGATTTGAGGACCGTAACAGTGGCCACTAGCCTTTGGGATGCTGTCTGGCAGCGGTAAACAAAATAGTTGCAGTGTTTCTCTCTTATCAGCACTTGGAGTGAAATTAGATTCGTTTTAGTCTCAATATAAGCGTGCTTTAAATGTATATGATGAGTCATCTCTTAAGTGAGTGAGATAGGCAAAGGTGAAGTTTCGTTCACATGCCTAAATGAAGGGAGACTTGAAACTGCTGAATGGTGTCGGTGCAAAGCTGACAAGACAAACACAATGGACTAAATGGCTTAGATAAAGCGAGGCATGCAGACATAAACTTAAGAGAAGGGAAATAGACCATACGAGCTCCTTTTGTCGACCGAATGTTGCACACTGAAGAAAAAGAAGGCGAATCCAAATCTTATCTGTGCATGCTTGGGAGCGGCAGAGCCATGTGTCGTCCTGGGACTTGTGCGGGTTTAAAAAAAACGATGATTGCTTAAAGCGTGCCATTTCATTAATATTCTTAGAAATTGAGGGAGGGATTACTTATGCACAATTTTTCAACAAGCCGCAATAGTGAGACATGCTTATTTATTTTTTTGTTTCTGTCTGCATATTGACCAAATTTTGCTATGCATGTGACATTGTGACTGTGCAATGATCAATGAAAGGTGGTGATCCTCCAGTCAACGACCTTCTACACTGGTTGATAACTAGCTCGACTTTCAGTTTGAAGGGACATAACGCAACGTGAGCGAAGCCAAAGCATTACCAGGAACTAATGACTGAAACAGGCAGTTTTTGTCAAACTACGTGTCCGCCTTTTTTTGTTTTCTCATTTTTCAGGCACCAAGAAAGAGCGCAAGGAACTGGAGAAGCCGATCATCTCTCCACCAACCAACTTTGAGCACACAGTGCACGTGGGGTTTGACGCCGTGACAGGCGAGTTCACAGGCATGCCGGACTCGTGGGCGCGGCTGCTGCAGAACTCCAACATCACCAAACTGGAGCAGAAGAAGAACCCACAGGCCGTGCTGGACGTGCTCAACTGGTATGATGCCTCCACCAAGGACAAGGGGGCCTCCAAGTACATGACCATGAACCGGACACTCGGTGAGTTGGGCAAGGTCACTCTGGCATTCTTAATGCTTCACACTTTTTGCTGGCCTCTCCAGTGATATCTTGTGAGTGCATTTGTGGTGCGTGACATTAAGCCTGTATAAGAGAGGAATGCACTTGAGAGGGCACCTGCATTGGTGGGGGGGGCAAAGAAGTTAAACTTTAGCAACAGACAGCCTGTATGTAAGAGCTGTGGGCATGTGGGCGAGCCCTTGCATGTAAAAAAGGAAGAAATGCTGCTGCAGCTGATGGTCCCTATTCATGCGCTGTGTAATCTAGAAACCGTCTGCATGAATGCGTACATCAGTGGTTCTCAGCCATGGATGTGTCGGCGACCCCTTGTGGGACTGGTGGAAGGGGTGGGGGACCCCTTGCAGCAGAGGAGAGAGAGGGGGGGATACGTAGGTGAACTAACACAACTGGAGCGTGAAACAGGTGCCTTTTATTGCTACCAAAAAATCAAATAAACATGCCACATCAGTTCATTTCGGACAGTTCATCAATACGTGGCACAATCGCACCTAAAGAAAAATGCGGGTGAGGATTTCGCAGATCATAGAAATGGCTTCGCGGACCGCGAACCACTGGCGTAGATTATGTGCGAACAACTGGCATAGATTATGTGCTGATGACAGCGCTAAAACAACAAAGTGCCCCTGTAACGTCTGCAATGTTACCTAACACCTGATTCACGACAAAACGTATACTCGGTGGTACTAATTACTATCTTGCATTCCGATTACTGCTTCGTAGGCAACTAGTATGCTGAGCTATCAGAGGAATTAAGTGAGAGTGAAGTGAAAAATGAAGACAGAAGTGGACACATGTCGACAAGATGAATGCTAGTTTGTCTTTATTTATGGGGTTGTGAAAATGCCTCGGGCCTACTCGGCCCAAAAATGCTAATATAAATGAAGTTATTGACAATAATAGATGGCTTGCATTAGTAGGCAGGACATTACACACATCCAGCACAGAAAGAAAAATTTGACTTGCATATACTACACTCAGAATTTATTCTCTATGCGCCCAATTTCTCATGCTGAACTTTCATGTTCCTCTCAGTCAGAGTGACTCATTCAGAGGGGAATGTGTAAGCTAGCAGATAAAAATTAGGGCCATTTTGTACTGCCATCTGCGTGGTAGCAGGGATATGTTCCTCTTCTCCAAGTGCCATCAGGTCATTGAGAACCCTGCGACATTTTTGTGATTACAACTGCTATTTCTTGGAATATTGTGTCTTGTCTTCTCACTGTATATCTCTTTCTTTTTCTGACCTGTCCCTACCATCCCGTCACCTTTTGATTTCTTTACATTTCTAACTTTCTACCTGCTTAACTCTGGAACGCCCCAGCCGAGCTTGTAGAGCTGTGGCAGATCTCACGTACGTAACACTCCAGCATTGTCTTGTTTCCTACAGTCTCAGCCCTCGTGCATGCAACAGCATGTAGAATATGGCATTTATTTTGCTGCTTCTTCCTCGAGCATCTGTTCTTCTGGAAGTTTGCTCTCTTCTTTTTTTCGGGTGTCGCTTTTTTTTCATTATTTCTTTATTTAGCATCTGAGTTGCTTCTAAATTATTGCACGAAGACAGGTTTTTCAGTTTTGCGTTATATTATTATTTTTGTAAATCAGGCACCATTTTCTTAAGCTATTGGTGTGCTTACTAATTAGGTGTTACAAGGTGGTAGTGCATCAAAATAAGTATGCGGTTAAAAAGTTTTCTGACGCAGGTTATGTTGTCTTATGGGGCTGAAACATAATAAGAGCGTTATTTTCAGCTACAGTCGAGCCCGTTTAAGCTACCTTTCCTGATTGAAAAACCGTTAGGCATGCAACTCGTGTGGAAACCATTGGTGATGATGGTCAACTGGGTGCAAATGGTTCAACATTTCTCTAAAGCTTGTTCACTTCATTAAAGGTGAAAGAGCATATCTGCTGTAGTAATGAGAATATTTAGGTGTTGAGTTTTTGGTTTCTTTTTTTTATTCTGTGGGTCTACGTAAAACATTTATACTTGAGCGTATCCTTTGCAATGGTATTTCTGGATAGCGCATGCATCTCCAAGAGTTCGAAGTGTATTTGACGACAGAAGTGGCCTGTTTGTGGCCAAGCACAGGTGCTTTGCATGGCTGTGAAAGGCCATACTTTGGGCACCATGCACAAACATGAGTTTTAAGAGTTAAAAGAAAGCAATTATTCACCTTAGTTAGTTTTCTTGAAACTCTACTTGGTCCGTAAAATATAACAAAATTGTATTCTGTTCGGAATAATAGATGCAATGTCTAATATTATGGACTGGCAATCAGCCTATCCTTCAGCTGTGTAGACAGAATGGCTATGAGAATTGTTAGGTTATCGGTGCATAGCATAGCATCATACTAAATGTGCAGCTTCACGCAGACAGCCTGATGGCCCGAATACTAGCATTTAAAAGCCTTCACCTTTGCCATTACAACCTCAGGCCACCTGTGCACTTTGACATAGTATTAATATGTCTGTAGCCTTGAACTTTGTCTGCATGTTAATGTCTGAAGACGCTTCTAACATGAATCTTGTATGTCTTACTCCAAGAAAAGCAAATAAATGCATTAGTGATCAGAAGCTTGATTGGGGACACTAGGTTTAAAAATTATATTAACATTGTGCAGTGAATTAAGGCTTCTTATAACCAGTAGACAGTGAAGAAATGAAAGCGGGAAAAACTTTATAAAAATTTAATGCTGCTTTTCTGGTGTAACGGGGCACTGCGATGCCCAGAATGTGTAGTAAACTATGCTGAAATTCAAAGAATGTTGACAGTTTATGTGCCAGTTTTTTGTTTTTTTTCATCTAGAGTTATTTTTCACCAGTTTTCTGGCACGTGAACTACAGACCTTTAGTGTTTGCCGTTACAATTCCCCTGATTTCGTTCATTCACAGGCCTCTTGCAAGACGGGTTTGTAGTGACTGGTTGTTCACTTGAGTGAGCACGACTGTAGCATGAAAATTTGCTTGAATTTTAGCTTACATGTCACATGGAAGTGTAGGGCATAGGGGAACTTGTTCTGAGCACAATGTGTGCAAAGTACTCTTGCATCTTGAGGGTGTTGGGACAGCATGTGTTGACGATGGTGGCGGCTCCAACTTCTTAAGATCAATTTAATCTGACCAGTGCTTGCCTTCAACGTGCAGATCCCTCTCCCCGGCCGAGCTACTTGGGAGACAAGTATGCTGTCGCGACGACGGTGATCGGTTCATCCACCTCGGTGAGTTAATTGACATTGGAGTAGCAGGTTTCCTGCTGTGCTCCGCAGCAGGCATTCACTGTGTGCACGAGGCAATTGCGGCAAAAGGAGACATATGACGGTGATGATTTCTGAACCTTGTCGTGGTAATTGAAGCTAGAAGTGAGGCCCAAAAGGCATAAATATTTGTGCAGCAAGGTTCAAGGCCCGTTCACTTGGCACAAGATAGAAGTCAAAATGAAAGTTACAGCTTCATTCACTTCTGTTGTTGCTCGTCCGTGGTGTATTCTTCATTTTGGCTTTTTCTTACTTGTATTTGTCATGCCTTAGTATAAGATGGCTGGTTCAGTGCCAACACATGCAATTGCACACATGCGGGACTCACAAGTGGCTTGATTTAATTTAACGCAATCGTGTCTTCTTTCCTGGTGCTAATGAAGACAGCGTGCGTCTATGATATTTTCCTTAAACTTCCGTCTTGGTCCATCTTTATTGAAAAAGCTTTTACGCTTGCTATGTAAATGTTGCCTCTGTTAGATGAAGCCATGCAGTTTGTGAAATGTATGCTTGTGTTAAATCTGAAAGCAACCTTGCATGTGTTGTAGTGTCAGACTGTTGATGTTGTCTTAGTGGAGGTCTGTCTTGAGAGGTAACCTATCGTTTCGCACAGACGGAGAGCACTTCTAAAATCAGAACTCTGTTGAAACACATTATTGAGCACCTCGAAAGCTCTAAAGGATTTCTGTAGTTGGGCATGCATGATGTGCTGATATTTTATTGGCAGATAAATATTTTTGTGAAATCAGTTGCTTTTTTTTTTCACATTTGAACTCTTGTAGCCAGAATATTTCTGTAATACAAAGGCAAGTCTCTGTAGTCTCCGTTATCCACATTATAATATAACATGGATTGTACCATTGCTGGCGGTGTGTTGCTAGAGTTCTTAATATTTGCACAATGGGCGTGCAGCTTCATTTTGCACAAGTTAACAAATATTGTCTTAGTGTGTTGGTTGCATGTCCAGAGAGGTTGTGCAGAGCGCAAAAAGGTTTCAGCCTTAATTTTTTTTTTCTCCTGTGCCCATATGCCTTTTTTGATTTCAGGAGGACAGCATATCTGAGCCAGAGAATGCGCCCAAGTTTCTGTCACCCCATGAGCCCAGGAGAAATGTCTCTGAGAAAATCGTCTACAAGGTCAGCTTTTTTTTCTTGTGAACCTTAGTTTTTTATTTCGTCGTATAGTAGTGCGAGAACTTGAAACAAGCATGCAAAGGCTAAGCTGTTTATTACAGCTAAGTTTCTCACAGCTTTTTGTATTATTCGGTCACCCTACGTGTCATTTTGATGTCTTCTGTTTTCTCTTACAAAAATCCTGTAGTGCGGCATGAAAATTATGTAAACAAATGAATGCATGAATGAACAAAGGAGTGAGTGAGTGAATAGATGGACGGCCGTAAGCTTATTGCATATTGCATTTCTCCTGCTGTCGCAAGGCTGCATTTTGTTCTAGTTGAGCCTGCATTTTTTTTGTGATGTCATTGCACCATAGAAAAGTTGATGCCGAAAAGTGCTTTAAGTTTTCAGTTGGAAGAAACTTGTATAACCTGCATCAATTTACTTGAAACATTTGAGAAACCTGCCTTGTGTATTTACTCTACAGACACACATTGTCTGTTCTGTAGTTGGATAATGAAAGAGTGAACTGGAAAGCATAAATAAAACTGCCTCCTCTGAGTAATAACTTGCTAGCGCTGTTCATTGAGGCCATTTATCCAGCTGCCAGAGTTGGTGTAGGCTTCCCAAGCATAAGTTCACAGCCCAAAATGAGTTAATGTCAGACAAATCTGCACAAGTGAGAACAAAATTTCACATTTTTAGTTATGCAACTTGATTGCATTGCGATTGCTCATGGAGTTCTGTATTACATCGAGAGCCCCCCGCTTTAATAGCAACCGTTAGTGCTACATTGTAACCTCTGGCCTCTTGCAGTCCCAGCAGGAACCCTCATCTCCCGAGGAAGAAGATGACGAGCCAGGCCCGCCGCCTCCAATCGCCACACGGCCAGACAAGACCAAATCCATCGTAAGCCACTTGAAGCCTCTGTGCACATTTTGTGACTTTGCTCACCATTATCCTTGGTTTATGCTTTGTCCTTTGCTGCTGCGATTGAAAATTTTTTTGTCTCTTATAGACATGTCATTGAAAAAATATACGACCACACCATAAAATCATTCGGTGGATAGCCTTTAAGGTTTGCAGCCCGTACATGTCAGCAGCTCATCGGTATTTGCACAATACACATTATTCAACTTAGAGTAGCAGTGTTATCACCCAACACCGAGACTAATATTGAAACCTTTGCAAACATATTGAAAGGCCATACAATCTTTCATGTGGGAGAGTTAGGATAAGTTTAGATGAATAAAGTAAAGTTCTGGTCATTGTGCACAAATGTTATACAGAACCTTTTCACTGAAAAGGCTTCATGCTGTATTGTCTACGGTAGTCCATACTCTGTTATTGCCACTGCATGGGTTGGTATAACCGGATTTCTGTTGAATTTCTAACTCGCAGTACACAAAGCCCATTGAGGAGGAGAACAAGAACGGGGCGGCATTTGGCTACGACGTACGCGACATTGCCAACAACAACAGCACGGCTGCTGCGCCAGGTGCGGTGACCCGACCGCGCAAGAAGAAGATGACCGACGAAGAGATCATGGAGAAGCTGCGCAGCATCGTGTCCGTCGGCGACCCCAACCGCAAATACACCAAGATGGAGAAAATCGGGCAGGGCGCCTCGGGCACGGCAAGTGTCTTCCCAATTGCTGCTCGTTCAGTTTGCCATGAGAGTTTTAATGGGGTCTGCCATGGTAGCTTAAGAACTGTGGCACCGTGCCAAGCACGGGGGCATGGGCCAGATTCCCGGCCACGGTACGGCCTCACTTTGATGGGGTGAAATGCAATAGCACTCGTTCACTTATACATAGGTGCACGCTGGAGGATCTTGGTTGGTCAAAATTAATCCGAAGTTCACCAACACTGCGTGCTTCATAATGTTATTGCGGTTTTGGCTTGAAAAACGCCAGAGCCAAATTATTAAGAGCCGAGTTTGGTAGCAGAAATCCATTATGCGTAACTTGAAAGTGAATTATGTCTGTTGTGGCATCACCTCGCTTAATCTCATTGCTTGCTTTAGTACCCACAATGCAATATAATCTGTATTTAGTGCTCAATTTCAGTTAATTTTTGGGGGATGGTTGTATGCATTATCAGCAGTTGTAAAAATGCTTTCTTTGATTACCTGTCATTTTTAGACGTACCGCTGATGCATCGCACTGTATGTCTGCATAAAAGCACTTTTTAACAAGGTCAGCTTCGGATTTCAAAGAAATGACTTTGTCACAAAAAAAGTTTACTGAAGTACATGAAATGAAATTTGAAGCAATGAATTTGTCTTAGCCAAATAACTATCCCTGCACAAGTTTTAGGTAACATGGCTACATACGGTATGACTTAACCTGTTTCATTTCATCACAAGGTCACCTTACATTTCTTTTTTGCATCACTTTGTGGGGGTCATATTAAGAATGAACGCTGTTGTATTTGTGAAATAAAAAGATGTTTTTTTTTTTCAATAATGGGGTGCATGATCTTGTTCTTCTCCAATCCCAAGATACGTTCTGTCTACAATGCTATCTGTAACAGATACCCCCATCAAGCTCAACCCGCTCATTTTCTGAGCACTTTCATTTTGGCTTCTTTTCAAGTAGTTAATATTTCAGATCTTGATAGAATGCACTGTCATTGCATATGGTATTGCCCATACTACTCTCTTGTAGACCGTGCTTCCTAAACATCATTTAGAAGTCTGCACTTGTTACGGAGGTCTTACAGAGTCATGTACCCGCATTGCTCTGCAGGTGTTCACGGCAATCGAGACGTCGACCGGTGCGGAAGTGGCCATCAAGCAGATGAACCTTTCGCAGCAGCCAAAGAAGGAGCTCATCATCAACGAGATCCTGGTGATGCGCGAGAACAAGCACCCCAACGTTGTAAACTACCTGGACAGCTACCTAGTGGGCGACGGTGAACTCTGGGTCGTCATGGAGTACCTGGCGGGGGGATCGCTGACGGATGTCGTCACCGAGACGTGCATGGACGAGGGCCAGATTGCGGCCGTCTGCCGCGAGGTGCTGCAAGCGCTCGACTTTCTGCACCGAAACCACGTCATCCACCGCGACATCAAGAGCGACAACATCCTGCTCGGCATGGACGGCAGCGTGAAACTGAGTGCGTTTTTACTTCTTTCATCAGAATCGACAGCAAGCAGTGCGGAGTTAAATAAACATGCTAGCGACAGCAAACTGTACTGAATTTTCATATCTGCCCACGTGATTCTTCACAACGTTCCTTGTAGTCAAATTTTATCTTGCACTTGTGAACCTCGTTGTAAATGAGATGGGATGAAATGATAGTCCTTACAACGTCAGTAAAGTTGCTCTTGAATTCATTTTAGGGAACTATGCATTTAGAGTATAATTTAATAAAGCGAATTGCCTTATCATTGGTTGCAATGAACTTTAAACCGTGACAATGGACTTGTAGCTTGTTACTTGCTTCTGATTGTTTATTTAAAATGAAGGCTGCATTTGTACTTTTACGGTTTTAATTGTTCTAAAATTTCTTCTGTAGACACCCGCTCTAAGACCAAATTTTTAATTCTCAGAAAGCAGATTCTACCTGCTCTAAAAGTAATATTCATGTTCTAAATATAATTTTTCTACACTCCGAAAGCTGCTCCAACATGTCCTAGGTCAATAGCGTCACTGCACATCCATTAATTTTTTTTGTACAACGTGCATGCAGCATGCCCTACGAAAAAATTTAACTTTGGCTTTAAGGAGCAGGTGCGCATGTTTATATGTAAAATATGCTAAATAGCAGATGTGCATGTTTATGTGTAAATTATGCAGTAATGAGGCTCTGCATTAATTGAATTTATAATGTCTGAGGGCTTTCGCGCAAAAGATAAAACTGTGCATTGCTTTTTATAAATGGCTTTTTTTTGGGGACCTTCTTGATACACTTTGTAAGACACCTTCTCCCATACACGCAGCGGACTTTGGGTTCTGCGCACAGATCTCGCCAGAGCAGAGTAAACGCACGACGATGGTGGGCACGCCGTACTGGATGGCTCCCGAAGTGGTAACGCGCAAACAGTATGGCCCCAAGGTGGACGTCTGGTCACTGGGCGTCATGGCCATCGAGATGGTTGAAGGGGAGCCTCCCTATCTCAACGAAAACCCCCTGCGTGCCCTGTACCTCATCGCCACCAATGGCAAGCCCGAGATCAAGGAGCGCGAGAAGCTCAGCGCGGTCTTCCAGGACATGCTTGATCGCTGCCTCGAGGTTGATGTCGATCGACGATACTCAGCTGCTGAGCTGCTCAAGGTGCGTGTGCTGCCGCTTGTGCTGTGTTCTTTTTCTGCCAAAACCGCTGTGCTCTGTTCTTGAATTGTGCTCACTGACCACCTCAAAGATACACGACTGTGTTGTTCTGCAGAATCGACAGTCAGGTGTTGATGGTTGGGATACCAATACAGTGAACTCCTGTTTAATCTCCTTCAAACCAAATTTTTGGACATACAATGTGGCAATGCTAAGTTCATTTTTCATAAACTTGTTCTAAAAAAATTGAGAAAAGAAAGGTTGCCTAATATAAACTGCTTTATAATTAGGACAAAGTTTCCAGTAACTACCAACACCACGTCTTTATTTTTCTAAGTTTTAGCTGCCAGATAGTAGCCATCTCGTTCTGGTTATGTTAGGAAATGTCATCACGTTTGCTGTTGCCATTACTAATTCCACAGAGCTTGCATGCCATAATCTTTGTAACAGTGCGATTCTGGTGCTGCTAATAAAGACAAAGGCATCCTGGACGAGTACTTCGGCTGCCAATGTAGAGTGCTGCATCATGGCTAGTACTTACCAAGCCACACACAAAGTTGTATGATAGCAGTACTGTATTTTCAGGGTTACTAAGCACTTGTTCTTGCACTGCTGTGTTTGGTATCAACGAGTACTGCCATAGTCAAAGTCAGTAGTTGGAGTTATATGCCATGTCCACCTAGACTAGTGTGGACGGAGCCCGAATACCGCTCAGCCCAATTGGTTACAACCTTGCTATGTTCCCAGTCAGTCTGATCACTTGTAACATGGGCTGGCTAATTCAAAACCCCATAACTAATGATTGAATGTGGCCTTCAGCAGTAATGACTACATGTTTCAAAGGGTGTTAGGGTTGTGGTGGCCTATTGCAGTGTGGTTAAACTATGTAGCACCAATGAAACTTCATTTGGCTCTAGTTGGTGCGTATTCTAGAATTTCAGACAGTGCTCATTTGTGTTGTGTCCTTTTTATGTGGTGCGTTTGGTGTGTTTAGGCTGTTACTTTTAATTATGTAGCACCAGCCTTGCTTAATATTTTCCACTGTCATCTCTCTTTCTGTTCGCGCCCACAGCACCCATTTCTGAAGCTAGCACGGCCACTCACCAGCCTGCATCCGCTCATTGTTGCCGCCAAGGAGGCAGCCAAGAGCCACTGAGGGCCAAGCACCGTAGACGCCACAAGGCAGGCTCACCCGCTGTTCCGATTGTACCTTCGGCTGCACAGCTGAGCCAGTTCGAGACAGCATTTTGGCCTTGCTTAAGAAGGCCACGCACCTCCTGCTTTGACCACAGTAGGCGGGCGCGGCATTGGACCTGCTCTCGTCACATGGAATTTCGTGGTTCCGGCCGTGTGTTGGATTGCTCTGAGAACAGTGATCCGGCCAATCATTTCACCCCGGTGGATGCATCTGGTCGGTGCTTGAGTCGCTTTTTCAGTGAAGCTTCACCAACAGTGATAAAACTGGTGTGTGTGCGTCGGGACCGAAATGCAGCTGCCTGCATGCAGCCTGATGTGGTGATGGTGAATTTTTTTTCTGGTGTCGGGGGAAAAGTGTTCTACTGTGACCTGCCACCATTGTGAGGAAGACTAGCACAAAATGCCACTATCAACGTACACCCTGCAGATGCCTTCTTGAGGTTTCTTCTTTTTTTCTGTGTGGAGCTGCCTGTGTGTACTGATAGAACTTATGTCTGGCTTGGAAATGCTCGTCGTTGTCAGGCTAAGCGTAGCCTCCCCCTTCAATGTATGCAACACAGCCTTGTGGACCGTGCTCTGCAACTGTGGGTGCCTTGGCAGCCACTCAGCATGTTGCAAGCGAGATCTCAGCAGAGGCATTGGCTGATTGGCCTGCGCAAAAGGCTGATGCTATTGTGCCCAGAGCACTTGCTGTGCTTGGGCTGCACAAGAAGCTTCAAAGCTGCTTCTTTTGGAAGGAAAGACACAGCTACATTGCATTTACAAACAAGCGGAAGTTGTCCAAACCAAGCGCCCTGGAATCACATGCAAACACGCAATGCATTTTTTATCTTAAACTGTACACATAGTAAATTTTTAGCAAAAGAGCTTTTTAAGCAGAGTATGCCTTTATTGCACTTTTATTAGATGCTTTTAGTTATTTTAAGTGATCCTAGGCCAAGCAGAAGTAATCATTTGAATTCTTTGAGAGACAATTCCATCCTCTGTGATGCTGTGTGCCGAGGACTTTCTTCTTATTTATGTTGCACAACACTCTCACTGGTTATGTCCTTGAGCGTTCTTGACAAATAAGCAATAGTACATTAGCATAAAAAGATGGTGAGTGCCTGAATTATTTTATAGCAGCTATTCATAAAGCTTCATGAATCCTTTGAAAGTAAACGACAAAACAAGGCCAAATTTCACCGAAGTCTACATGCTAAGACAAAACGATGGCAAGGCGGAATTCAGCTTCTTGTGGCCAGCAGTATTTACCTTGTTCGCTAAACACCAATGTTGTTTCATCCTGGCATACGAAACTGGGTCATACAGGACACTCATTCTCACTTTACCTCAGTCATGGTTTAGTAAACCTTAGGAAAGTTGTAACACAGAAACTGGGTTTTACGTGTGCAGTTTCTTAGCACAGTGGTTCTCAGCCGTGGATGTGTCAGGGACCTCTTGTGGACTGGTGGAAGTGATGGGGGACCCCTTGCAGCTGACGAGAGGGGTGGTGGTACATAAGTAAATCAACACAACTGGAGCGTGAGACAGGTGCCTTTTATTGCTACCAAAAATATTAAACAAACTTGCTACATCACTTCATTTTGAACAGTTCATCAATACATGGCACAGTCACGCTTAAGAGAAATGCGGGTGAGACTCTCGCGGATCATAGAAATGGCTTCGCGGACCCCCTAGTGTCCACAGACCTCCATTTGAGAACCACTGGCTTAGCCTATATTCGCGACCAAAGACGGGTTAGTTAAAATGAAAGTGTGAATATATAGCAGTGCATTTGGTAATACCCAAGAATCCAGTCATGAACAGGCTTCAGTGTCGCGTATTTCTGCCTAGGCCGGTGCTGCATGTCCATGACATGAAAAGGTGACAGTTTCGATATAAAAGTGGAAGAAGTTAACTTACGGTTACCACTGGTAAGGGCACTATTTCGATCTTGCAAGGAATTATCACAAATCTATTAGTCAGGGCATCTTAAAATTTCAGCAACTGTTTTTTGACAATGGAGCATTCTCTGCTTTGTTCTTTTTATCTAGTTGCATTCATGCAAAATGAGCCACTCACATACTGCTTAATTTCTTTTGGTTTTAGAAAATAAGGCAGTGGTTGTGTGCTACTGTTGCATTGAAATCTGCGTTATGGCGGCTCAAGTGCCAATCATTCAAAATATCTACGTGTTAATGGTTAGCAAGAGAATGAAAGCTCGACCATACTCTGTTTTGTACCGCAGTGCCGGGGAAGTGACACAAGAAGCTCGGTGGGTAAAATTCATAACGTAGCACATTTTGCAGTTGGCTTTCGGGCTGTCAATCTGCTTGCGCGAGTGGAGTGCCAAGTGAGCCATCACGTGAGGCATAGAACTATAAAGGGGATGTAAAAAGTTGAAGAACAATGCTCTAACAACTGCACAGCACACTTTGTACTTGGCTTTGCCAGTTCTCTTGGAGATGCACGCCTTCTAATATTAATGTAGTCTTCGAGTCTGGAAACTCGTCGGAGGAAATGGCTTTGCGGGACTGAAGCGGTGGCATTGCTAGGTTCTCAATCGGAAGATGCGTGTGTATTGTAAACTGCGTGGTAGACTTCCTTTCAATGCAAACAGTAGAGCGATTGAGTTCTCCGCTGTGCTGTACCAAGGTTTTGGCGCTTCTGTATAAGCCAACTTTCTGACAGTGATGCAGGCAAAAGTTGGAGTGCTGTCTGGTCAGGTATGAAAGGGGAGGGGATCATTGATCACCTAAGTCAAAACAAAGAGATGTGTTGGAATTACTGCAAATCCCGTGCTCACAATGAACTCTGTCATGTACAAAAAATCTGTAGTGATACCATAATGTGCTTTTATTTTAGCTTTGGTTAGTGACCTGACAGTTTTCTCTTACAAAACTGATAACCTTCAGGGATGCCTTGCACAGATGGGCTGAGCCAATAGGAACGTATGTTATAAAGCGAATATCCTGCGGGTCCCTTGGAATGGTTCTCTTATCGCTTATTTCTCAAACTGTTTCTTCAGCAAGGTGTGTTCTTGTGTGCTTCATTGTGCATACCTGAGAGTGCTTAGTTAAGAGGATTTCCGAAGTGTCTTTATGTTCGTAATAACGGCAGTCTACCACATGTCCGCCTTTGGTCAAGTCTGGTTGTCGATGTTCCGTCACTAAATGGTGGCACCAAGACTATTTGCTGTTCTTCTAGACGCGTCGTTGTGCAAGTCATTTTGCATGCAAAATGGGCATTGATGTGTTTCGTGAATCAGCTGCAGTTGCTGTCGTGCGACTGTCAAGTCCTTTTTGAAAGGTTCTTTTCAGTGAGTGGCAGTAGAAGCTTGCTGGTATGTGAGGTGAGGTGTCTAGGATGCACCACATTTTGCGAATGCTGTCATGGAACAATAGGCTGACTGGAATGACATGAGGATGCTTGCAGTTTGAACTATGTCATGTTCGACATCAGAGTGCAGTACAGTAATTCACTCAGGAACATGCATGGTATCTTGTGATCAATGACATTACGCTCATCGCAATAGGTTTTGGCATCACTTGGAAAAGTAATTTGCTGAGGACATTATCGGTGTGTTGAAATCTAATGCATGGAAAGCCTAAAAAGGGGTGCAAAAAGCATTCTCAAGTGGATGTTGAAGTGGCATTAGCCAGTTGTTCCAGTCAACCCTTGAAGAAAAGACTGAACGGTTCTTAAAACATTGGGTCTCTTTGAGACCGTGGCTGGTGCCAGTTCAGCACCTGAAATTCTCAACTGTGCATATCTTAATCAAGAATTAGTAACGCCCTTTTTCGGAAGGTTTCATTTAGGCAATTCTTAAAGTCCTCAATTGTCGCAGCTTGTGTGAACCGTTTTGGTTGACGGCATTGTTCTTACTGTCGCACCAGACACTTTTGACTAGACCTGGTTGAGAGCTGCTACTTGGTTGATATAGTGTAAATGCAGATGAAAGTGGCATGTGCGTGCTAGTTTACTCTGCTGCCTCTGTCGATAGACGAGTGTACACAGAGTCAGCACTATTTGAATTATTATGGTTGCAGCCTTACCACCAATGTTAGTGTAAATGTGAGGTAAATGGCATCACTTTTTTGCTATCTTCATTCATTGTGCAAAATTTAATTAGTGTTTGTCCTCTCTTTAGAACTTTCTTGATTATTTTCCCCTCATTGCTGCGTTATTTCTGGAAGCGCACTCGTAGAAGTTCACAATCGCACCTTTTTTTTTTTTGTCTCTGGTATTGGATCAGGTAATGATGCACGTGAGCGTAAGTTTGCAAGTCTCCTGAACATCGAGACACCTCCACATTGTGGACTTACGGTAGACATGCTCTGGACATCCGACGGAATTTTGTTGGGGCTTCTGCTCTTGTTAGTGGCAGCTTTGATCTTCCGTGCAGCTAGAATCGCTCGGCTGTCGGTAGCCTCAGGCATCTATATAAAGTTTCGCTGGCAACCTGAAACTTTCTCTTGCACACTTGTAGGTGCTTCAGGCTAGCAATACGCTAGCTTTCACTTTCGATCTTGGCACCTTTCTATTTGACAGTGCAGGTTTTTTACACTTCAGGTAGCTTCGAAAGGATTGAAGGTGTTTTGTAGACTGTGGTATCTTTTAGCTAGCCACTGTGTGAGAGAGTTGTGGCACGTGAGTTGATGTGTTTCCGGGGCATGCGACTCTGGAATTGGAAGGACTAGGGGGTGCCTGGTGGCGCGTTCCACTTCACTCAAAAGTGAGAATGCGGCTGCCTTTTGTCGGTTTTGCGTGCATTCAATTAGGAATACGCTTCGTAGAGTGTTTCCACCCTTCCAAATGTGGGTTTTGTCTTCTTGAGCAACAATTTTATTTAGCTGTCTTGTGTTCATGTGTCAAGCTGTGCCTTTTGCAGTTTGTTCAGTACTCTATGCTTTTTTTTTTGCTCGTCTTACTGCTTGTCTGTCTAGTATTTATCTTACAGTTAATTTATAGTATATTATTATATAACTACCCTTTCCTACTGACGCGACCTCTTAAGTAAACTGGCTGGGCGTGAAAATAGGATGGGACTCGTTGCATGCAGGGGTACTTTTCAGAGTTCCGCCAGGCAGCGTGATAGTCGATTATGCAAGTGGTACCAAAGATCAAGAAGAGACGAAGATATCGGTGACATAGCTCACAGTTCGCTTATTTATATTTTTGCTGGGTTGCAGCATTGTTTTTACCACTTTCTTAATGAGTCTTAGGATAATTTATACTACATCTTGTAGACGATTACCTGCCGTAGGCAAAAGTTACTGAATATGTTTGCGATTGCTTACTGGGCCTCGAAAAAGGAGTTATCATAAATGTAGGTGGAAGTACTTATTCGGGCTTCATTTGCAAAGTGCTCCATCACGACTATAGTCATACTTTGTGTTGCAGTATGATACCATAAATGCGACACATCTGCGTAGTCTTTTCTGCTTAAATCTGCATGTCAAGGTTGCCCGAAAGGTTTGAGCGATTGGAGTTCAGCGGACCCAAAACTACTAGATAAAAATGATTATCACATTAACATCCTTGTGCAATATCAGCGAGCGAATGCCATGCTTACACCGATTTGAGTTTTTCCTGCATAAATCTATTTTTTTGTATTTATAATGCCATGTTGCGTACAAAATGAACAAAAAAGAGGCATGTAGTGGTAACGAGTGTGGCTGCGGCATCTCTCGGCTGATCTAGTTTTAGTAGTCTGCACTTGTGGACACTGCAAAATAGTGGCTTCATTATTTTTATGCGTTGAATTGCACTTTGGTCCTCATAGTAAGCATGTTATACCTATTTTACTTTGTATTGTGCTCCCACTGTCCTACTTTTATTTTTTACTCTTTGTCAATGGTTTCTAATGAGACACATATATGCCCTTTTTTATCTTTTGCTTGATAATTTTATTGTGTTTTTTGTAGGCTGGAACAACATTGAGTTTTGTGATTTATAGTTCCGTGTTGCCACTGGCCTCTTTTGTCAATTCATGAAAAGTGTTAAATTATGCCTGTAATATTTTAGGTCTGAATATAATTTGCACGTTTGTTGAATCAGCAATTAGTTTTGAGGTTAGGATGTGTATAATTCTTTGTTATAAGGGGACTCCAACACGATGTCAGTTCTTTCATACAATCTTACTGTAAATTTGCGAAGATGTTTTTTGAAAGATGAATGATAGTGTTTTAAAGAGTCTTGCTTCATATTGTACGAAACGTTAACCGTTTAGTCCCAAGCAAGTTAGCCCCCCCCCACCCCTCCTACACTGTAAGATAATCCCTCAGATTTTCAAGGGGTGGCGGTCCTTACTCAGTCATAAATCAAAATTCAAGATGGCAGCAGAAAATCCGCTATGACAAAAGAGTGCACACCCGTGCGTTCAAGGAAATCTTTTATTGAATGTGCATAAGTTTGCTGTTTGTGTGCCCCTGCCGGGCAAATGAAGCTGAAGTGGCAGGAGGGGAGGGGGGTGCTTGCTTGGCCATTGCTGTATATTTTAAATCTACCAAAAAAGGGAGGATGTGCTTGCTCAGGATTTTATGGCAATTGGGCAGCTGTGCCACTGACTGTACCTCTTCAAACTCTGCACTTTTTGTGTGTTTTTTAATGCTGTTCTGTGGAATATCCAAATCAAGTAATTGTCACCCTCAGAAGTTATACCGAAATCCCTCTGAATTTTCGCTCCATGTGTTGCATGTCTAAGGCAGCAAGAAATATGTTTACAAAAGAAAAGAATCAAGGAAACAGAGTGCTTATTCTGTAACTCTGCATATTGTAGAGCAGTACAGAACCTGGGTAAGCTTTATTTTTATTTCTCCTGTTGGAAGAAATTGAGAAGTGTAATTCAAGAATACAACCTGCCATGCATGGCTTTCTTTGTATTTCTTGAGCCTATTTTGATTAGCAGTGCATATAGTGCTTTACCCAAACTTGTGACAAATTGTTAATGATAAAACAAGGCGTTGCCGTAGTCATTGGCAGCTAGAATAGGGAAGTCCTGGCTTTCATTAAACGAATTTTTCTACTCTCCATTTAACAAAGCAATGCGCAAAACTGCAGACTGTCTTTTTTTTTTACTTTGACTATTGCTCTAGTGCTGTGTTCAGAAGGGCAGATTTCATAATTTGAATATTCTTTAGCTATCTAAACTAATATCTGCTCTTGTTGGTTTTACTAAAGGGTTTACATATACATCAGTTGTTATGTTGAGCTAGTAGCTGCTTTTGCTTCTGCTGATTTGCTGTGGCTTCTGTATGAACAATCCTCTCAGTTTGATGCACAACTACTGGAGGTCACTGAGAAACGTTAATTGCGTGGTGGGGTTTTGCCATAGTGTGTACCTCTTGCTGTTTCTTGCATATACAAACATTGTGTTAACTGTGAGTCAAGAACGAGATGTAAATATATAAGGGTGCCTGTGATGGTCCCCCTTTTTTCTCTAAAGTGGTTTGTGTTGGAATCATTTCCTCTCAGAATTTTTTCGAGAGTCTTCTACTTTACTTCTTGAAGGTCTTGGACACCCGACTACCACTTCTTGAATGGCTAGCCTGGTCATTTGATAGACACGTGCACGCATATTTAAAAATGTGTTGCTACCTTTGAATAGAGATACCTATGAGGGCTGCTTTAGCGTCACATCACTCTCTTTTAGGAGCACGTCTGCACAAGTGTACCTTTCGAAAGCTACAATACTGTGATTGAAGACCAAAGTATTTCTCTTTTTTTTCACGGATAGATTGGCTGTATGGTTCCAGTAACGCCCGTGGCTGCTGGCTACTTGTAGTGAAGACACTCGCTAGCATGATCTAACCAGTGAATTTTCGACCTTCCCGTAAAAATTGTTGCAAGTATATTCGTTTCATGAAAAGCAACAGAGGCCTTACTATGAGGGAGATATGCCTTGTCTGCATTTTTTACTTGGGATGTGGGCACATGACTGCAGCTTTTTGTTTTCAAAACATAATTAAAAGTCTGCCTGGTTTGGACAGCTAAGTATGTAAAAGCTAATTAATTTGCAACTAGCATTTGTTGAAGCTGGATGTTTCAAGGCTCGTCTTGCTTCTTCTTCAGTGGATCCCGAAGAGGGAACCGTAGTTGTGCCAAAGTGTCAGGTTTTCATGGCTTTTTATTGTAGACTTACCACCTTTAATTCTGTTGCTGTACTGCACTCAAGTTGATGGCTTAAATCTATTTGCCTGGTATGAATGAAGAAATGACTATGTTGCTGCAACATTTTAGTCATATTGCTTTGCATAGTTCTACGTAGCATCTAAGTTGGCAGCACTGCGGGTAACTTTCAGTGGATTACTGCCTGGTTAAAGTCTGCAAAATGTATCAGAACAGCAAATTCTTTGAAGACTCCCTAAACATACATCTGTCTCCATAGCCCGTGGCTAGTGGTACTGACATGTACCTGCAGTACATTACAATAGCAGCACTATGGCAGAACTGCACACCTAATGCAAAAATGAATGCCCCTCAATGCAGGTAACCCTGAAGTGGTTTTGATGTCTGTTGAGCACATCACATCGAGGATTTGTGCTACAGTTTAAACAGATCATGAAGATAGGAATATTGAAACAGAGAACATACAGTTTGTTAAGTTCTTTATAACAAAGGTAACATATATTTGAGTTCAGCTTGAACTAACATTGAAGAAGTTCGCAAAGCTACCAATGTCTGATCATTTGTCTGCTTTTTTTTTTTTCACATTACTATGCGACCTTTCAAGGCAATTAGGCAGAAACGTTTTCTCTATTGGTGCTACAGTAATGTCAAATAGTGCCAGTGATTTGCCTGCTCTGGGAAATGTTTACTGTTAAGACGCGGGTTGTTCAGTCCTGACAACTCTACCGTCTCAGCTGAGTCTTTCTAAATGTTCTTCGACCATTTAAGTTCGGTTAACGCCGCTCTTTCAGACATCTGTATTTGTCAGCACTGATATTTTACAGAACACTCTAGCAATGTTGCCTCTACCTCTTTTGCTTCACGTAAGACCATACTTGGTGTAAGCAGGCGTCGACTGGTGGTCTCAGATCCACGTAGTGAGATCAGTTTAGGTGTTGTCACCAGTTTCTGACTGGCGGTAGCTCCTTTTGTGAAACTTGAAACTTCTGAATGGCTAACAGCGATAGAACCCCGGCTTCCTGTGAAACTTGTTCAGTTCTGAAGCTTCAGAATTGTTTTATAATGTAACATTTTAGCCGGAAACATTCTTTTGTGCCCATAAAGGCATATCAAGAATCAACACCCAACAGGCACTGAGAGCAGGGAGCACATGCCATCTGCTGTCACCTTTCTGAGAATTTCTCGTGCAACTTGCCATTTACCGTATATAATAACTAATAGCCGAGGGTAGAATTACTGGTTTACACTTCTACAGATTGCATAACATGCTAGTTGATAGCAGTGTTGGTGCAATATACATACTCGGTCACCTAAGTTAGCCCATCATGGTTTTTATTGCTGGTGCCCATTGTTTATTATGTCATTTCTACTCTATGGTGTTGCCTCAGTTTAGAAAGAACTGTCTATAGTTCTGGTGTGATACACTTTATCCTACACGAGTGGCAGTTTTACCATCTGTGTACTCGCACGGAACATTTGGTCGTTCATCGTGCGTGGCGCTTGTCCGAGGTCCTGGCACCAAGCATGGTGTGATTTCTGCTGTCTGGTAGCTGATGCTTGCCTCGATCATGTACTGTGGCAATTCAGTAAGGACCTACGGCTTTTAAAGTACACCGTGGCTTTGCATCCACAAATTTTCCTGTCTTAGCGAGCTTGAAGATAGTCTTTGAAAACTTTAAATGTACGTGTTTCTTGGAATGAGCGTGTAAGAGCAGCTAAGTGTTGGCACTGGAAATATTGCCTAGTGTATGTGCTGTCACCAGGTCATACGACTGGTTACACTCTTCTATCATTATGTGCCGTTGCTCTTCTGTTGTCAAGCGCCACTCCAGAGCACCAGTGGTGCACTGCAAAGGGTCACCGGCTGCTGTGCCGTCATTGCCACTACCCTGTGAATTGTGTCCTGTGCGGCGCTGGAACGATTCATTTGACCTATATACCAGCTGCATCTGGGACTGACCTTCCCTGACAAGAGTGTGTGTGTGTTTGCCTATGCGTAAGTGCTGATTTACATCTGACTTTTCACTTTTAAGGTATTGAAGAACAAGGATGCAATAATGCGGGGTGAATAAAGACTTTTGCAGTAAGTGCAATTGGGTCAGTAGCCATTGGTTGTTTCCCTTCAGATGGCTGTCTTCATTGGCTGTCTCCAGATGAACGGGCTGTGTATGCTTATGCCAGGAGCACAGGCAGAAATGTTTTTCTGGGGTGGGTTGGCAAGATGGGAAGGTAGCACTTTCCCGATGTGAAGTCAGGGCCGGGCTGGCATATGTGGTCGAGTGTCATTTTGCGCTCTGTGTGTCATGGTGAAAAAGGGGTGGGGAGGGGGCGCGGGCTCGTTGTGTATACGCACCGGATACACCACTGACTTATGCATATTTTGAAACACAGATGACAGTGATGCTTTTCGGGATAATATAAAACCTCCCCTTGTCGAAACTGAGGGGAGGTTTTGAGGATGGTGGATGGGGGGAGGGGAAGCATGACTAAGTGGGTTGCATAGGCATAACAGCCGGGGGGGGGGGGGGGCAAGGGAGGCTGGGCCCACCCACTTTCGACAGCGGTCACTCTTGGCTGCACGCTGGTAAAACCAAGAATTGAGGCGAAGTTTTCGTCCACCACAGATCACTACATTATATTTTTACACGGGAATGAAACTGTTACGAAGGAATATTAGAATGGAATGAAAATTTTGAAAATTTTGTCTGTGAAGATTTTTCTTGTAGGCTCTTTGCGTGTGCGGAGTCCCCTATGCGACGCTTCCGCTCTTTGTGCTGTAGCATTGCAGAACAGCCTAGAGCTTAACAAGGGTGCCGTAACATTACATCATTTGTTAATGCTTTTATTCTGCTGTGCCTGGCCGATGCAGTTACAGACAAGAACGAGCAAACTTTTTGTGGACCGGTCAAAGCACTTGCTGTTTCAGGAAAATCATTTTCTTTAATAAAAAAGAAATAGCATCACCGCTGCCCTATTCATGCTGTTGTTGGCCAATGAGTGCGACGAATCTGTTTTAATTCTTTAGTTTTGTCATACTGGAAGGGCCAAAAAAGGTTCCAGCTCCGATCAACCTGACCAGCCTGCTAATGGTAGCTTGGTGCGATGGTGGCAGCCTACAAAGCAGTGCACATGGAGCTCAGTTTTACATCGCAACTTAATAAACCGAGCCAGAGAGATGGTGAAGCTAGGTTAGTGGTTTTTGGCACTAAGGAGGCTTACTTAAGAGCCGGTGTTTTCATTCAACTTGAATTGACATTTACAGCTTTAAATACAACTCGGACAGCAAAAAAGCACCAATGTGCAGCGCTGCTCTCTGTCTCTCTTAGCAAGGATGTGCGACAAAAAAATGCGTAACGCCGTTATTATGCGAGTCAAAATATTTATTATACTCATATGAATACATGTCGCCAGCTGGTATAAGTAACCGCTGCTCATGGGATCGGCGGCTAGCCCACATGAATGACGTTTAAAAGAAGACGCTGTCTGGCTATTCCAAGGAATTTTAGGTATTGTTTTGTATACATGAATGGACGGTTTAATGTGCATACGCTCAAAAACGCGATGACATTTCACAGATGAATGAGCAGGCGATTTCATGACCCACAGAAAATATTAAAGGTCGAAGAGCCAACGGCACACAATGTGTCGTAATTAAAAGAGTTCATTGTTATTTTTACGGGTTCGCACATAAGAGGTCATTACACGATGAATCATTTTCGTGTCATTTGTTGGCTCGCATAACGAGCTTCGGAAAGAAGCAACGAGGTGTACGGGAACGTTATCGCCCACATTTTTTATTTCGAAGGAAAATTTCGTTTACATTGTTTGTATTGGCGTAATTGTGGAGGTGCCTGATTCCCTTCAAGAAATGTGGATTGATATTGATATGTGGGCTTCAACGTCCCAAAACTACCATATGAATATGAGAGACGCCGTAGTGAAGGGCTCCGCAAATTTTGATCACCTAGGGTTCTTTAACGTGGACCCAAATCTGAGCACACGGGCCTATAGCATTTTCGCCTCCATCAAGAATGCTGGCGCCGCAGCCGGGATTTGATCTCGCGACCTGCGGGTAAGCAGCCGACTACCTTAGCTAATAGACCACCACGGCGGGGCTTTAAGAAATGTTGATACATATACGATAAGTGTAAACAATCACTATGCCCCTGACCCCACAAATGATACATTTTTAAAGAAAGGGGTTGAGAAGTTAATAATTAGAATAATATATTAACAATAGTGATGTTACTAAGAACGCACAAGTAACACTGTTTGCACTAGCAAACAAGGCAAATTATAATACACAGTAGCCTGAATATATGCTAGAAATTGTAATACTTATTATATAAAAAAGTATCACAGCAATCATTCATTAAAAAAAACAAACAAAAACATGGGGAATCCCTGCGTCATTGAAACCGGTAGAGCAGGAAAGTAAAACGCGCCTTTACAAATGTAATTGAATATATATATATATATATATATATATATATATATATATATATATATATATATATATATATATATATATATATATATATATATATATATATATATATATATATATATATATATATATATATATATATATATATTGTAGTGGAGCATACGCACCAACGCGTATGCGCCTTCGGAAGACAACGAAAAGCCCGTGCTCTGATTGCGCGAGAACCTGTGCCGCCATTGCCAGACTTGCTGTCCGCCCATTTTCCGTTGCGACCTCGTTGCGACTCCTCTGTTCGAATAAACATCATCGCATTTGGTGGAAGTGCTGGGTAAGAGGCCGGAACTGTAGGGAGTGCATTGCAAATTTCAGTGCGTATGGTCTGCTGCATATTCGAAGGGAGGCTTGTCGTGGGCGCGTCGCTATGCGGCAGCAGGGAGAGCTGTCGGGCGACTTCCTCCCTGATGAAGTCTTTAATCTGGTTCGACAGAGTTTCTTGGTGAACGTTGCCATTTGCGAGTGCGACGGCCGAGATCGAATCTGGTGATGGGACACTCTGTCGGGCGATGGAACGCTGCCGATGCAATTCATCGAAGCTCTGGCACAGGCTTACGAGGACTGTCACCGTGGTCGGGCTCTTCGCCAGCAACATCTGGAATGCGCCATCCTCGATGCCTTTGAGAATATGTCGAATTTTCTCTTCTTCAGGCATGGATGAGTTAACACGCCTGCAGAGGTCGAGCACATCCTCAATATAGCTAGTAAAGGTATCGCCAGGCTGCTGGGCTCGGTGGCGCAAATGCTGGTCAGCGCGGAGCTTTTGGACCTCTGGTCGGCCGAATGCTTCGGCCACGAGGGTCTTAAAGGTGGACCAGCTGGCGATGGTGGTTTCGCGGTTGGTGAACCATAGCTTGGCGACGTCAGCCAAGTAAAAGATAACATAGGCAAGCTTAGAGTCGTTGTCCCATTTGTTGCTGGCACTCACGCGTTCGTACAAGGAGAGCCAGTCTTCGACGTCTTGCTCACCACTGCCGCTGAAGATTGGTGGGTCCCGCCGACGGGTAGCACCGGGGCAGGTCGACGGGGCAGCCGATGGTGCTGGCTGTGCTGGGATGGGCTGGTTGGCGACTGCGTCAGTCATGTTGTACGGTGGTCTTTCGGCCAACTTGCGAGAGCGGAGCTCCAGGTCTGCTTAGGGATCTCAGCAGCCTCCACCAAACGCGTATGCGCCTTCGGAAAACAACGAAAAGCCCGTGCTCTGATTGCGCGAGAACCTGTGCCGCCTTTGCCAGACTTGCTGTTCGCCCATTTTCCGTCGCGACCTCGTTGCGACTCTTCTGTTCGAATAAACATCATCGCAATATATATATAGGGAAAGAAGTGTATACCTAAGGGCTCGTTTTCCCGTGTTTTGACACAATATTAATCAGATCTAACAGACAATATTGCCAAGGAATGTATAAGGGCAAGTTATTAGAACCAATGTTATGTAAATAAGAAAGAGAAGTGGGGGGAAAAATAACCTGCCGTGAGCAGAAAACGAGCCTACGACCTTTGAATAACTCGTTCGATGACCTGTCAATGTCATATATATATATATATATATATATATATATATATATATATATATATATATATATATATATATATATATATATATATATATATATATATAGTTGGGGATCTGAGGCGCGCCCGCGAGCATTCCGCCACACGGCCACACCCTTTTGCTTTTCTGCTCTGTTAACACCACGTGGCGATAGATGGCGCCACGTGCGGGCACGGTACGCGCGCGCCGAGGGAGCGCTCTCGCCCCACGTTGGGCGCCAGTGACCCCGCTGCTAACTGCAGCGGACGATCACCGCGGGTTCACGCTTAGCGAGCCACAGGGCCGCTACTCCGTTTACTCGCGTGTAGCGCACCGCTCCGCGCGCGCTCAACTAATAATGCGTTTAGCCAACACCACCTAAACTTATCTAGGTGGTGTTGGTTTAGCGCGGCGCAGGGCCGGCTGTCGCAGCGAGGTCCATCCGAACCTCCATCGAGGCGGCGTTCGTCGGATTCGCAGGTCTGTCGTCAACATCGACGAGACGAAGGTGAGCAAGAGGGCCTTAACCAGAACCCTCTCCTTGCACTCTCGCACCCACGCAGTCACCCAAGTCAAACATTACGTGACGCTGCCCCTCCGAGCCGTGGACGCGCTCTTGCGTGAGCATCATGAACTCCCGTTACCGCGGAGCCATTGTATTTCTCAAAGGTATTCTTGTGTTGTTTTATTTTTTTTCTTCAGCAGCAGCAGTTGCAGAGCGAGGCTGAGGCTAGCTGTTGCCCATTGCATGACGCCTTTGCATGCATGGGCGACGACCGGCTGCCTTTGCAGACCGGTATATAGGGTGAATTAAGGATTGATTGATTGATATGTGGGGTTTAACGTCCCAAAACCACTATATGATTATGAGAGACGCCGTAGTGGAGGGCTCCGGAAATTTAGACCACCTGGGGTTCTTCAACGTGCACTCAAATCTGAGCACAGGGGCCTACAACATTTCCGCCTCCATCGGAAATGCAGCCGCCGCAGCCGGGATTCGAACCCGCGCCCTGCGGGTCAGCAGCCGAGTACCTTAGCCACTAGACCACCACGGCGGG